TGGTATTAAGTGAGTAAATAATTACTATGTTTTGTTAGTATTTTATATGATATTATTTCCTCGCGCAGTAACATTTGTATCCTTTTTAGAAAAAACAGACTTTGCGACAGTCCAGTCAATGGCGCACGGATCGGAATACGGCAGCGAGAAGAAGATGGCGGAGGTTGGAAATGATGCAGAGCTACTCAAGGAGAAGGCGAATAAGTACTTTAAAGGTAATTTGGATAACTTGTCAGGTCTGTGACTTTTGTCGGTGGTTCGTATCGGACACGGGTGTGACCGTGAATCACGGGAGGACTCGGGTCGTGTCGCTTCAAGCTCCAACCGGAGCCGGGAGCTAACGTCAGGCTAAGCTAACAGCGCTCAGAAAGCATGCTAGCTGTAAACCCCATTCATTGGATTAGCTGCTTTGGCTAAGCGCTGAAGCAGCAATGCTAACTCATGCTGCCCCCCCCCCCGTGTCTTAAACACCTGCTGGGGGTTCGATTCCCTCTGATCTGTGCGAACATTTCGTTCCTCGTGGAATAGTGTAGTTTTCTGCGCAACAACTGGAAATGAACGTCAAGCAGCGATGCATGTGGGGAGCTGCAACCAGGCTCATGATGCTCTGTTGCTTTTCATGCAGTTTTCCCCCCCAAACACTCTTACATCTTATCGTGGAGTTTTCTCGTCTTTTCAGACGTAATTTCACTTTGTAATTAATTGATAAAAGTCTTATTTTGCTTCCATTTCAGTTAAAGGTACAGTGTGTAGAATGTAGTGATGTCTAGTGTTGAAGTTGCATGTTGCAGCTGAACACCCCTCACCTCACCCTCTCCTCCCAAACATGAAAAAGAACCTGTGGTAGCCTTTAATCGTCATAAAAACTCAAAAGGTGTTTTGTTCGTAAGGAGGACCCCGTCGATGTTAATATAAAGTATTTAAATATAAAGGGCCTTTTCTGGGGTAAAGAAAACTACAGTTCATACAATTTAGATGAAACGGACTACTGAAAACATCATGAGGATTATTCTACATTAAATATCTGCCAATAGATCCCTTTCACTTAAATCTTACACACTGGACCTTTAAAGAATCAAAAAGAAATGTAGTTTGACCTGCAATCTCATTTAAGCACATTTCAGCCCAAAGAAATACAGAGACTTTAACTATTGTTAGGTTATGAGTGAACCTTCCTGTAGAGTGAAGTTTGGGTTTTTCTAAATGACTTAACCAGGGCTGATGACTCTCTGATGACTGTAAAACAAAGAGTGTCTGTTTTACTTCCTTCTGTTTGAAGGAGTCCTGAACAAAAGTAATCAACAGGACAAAGTTAGTTATTCAGCCATAATCATGTGGAGCAATTGTAATGTCAAACTAGAAAACTGTGCCACGAGTTACGTGTTTGCTATCTCATTGTCAAACCATCACATACTCTGGAAAGGATGATTGTCTACAAAGACAAATGGGGCTGGAAAATATGGTAATCATAATGATAAATATTATCATTTAATATCATTAATTTTTATAAATGTCCCTTTGTTTCTTTTAACTTTAATGACTGACCTTTGACCCTATGAAACAGCACAAAATGATAAGCACTTGCCAAAGGGCAAAACGTTTACTCAATCCTCGCTTGCACTGTAGAAGCATTATATATTTTGTTTTATTGCCATTTTTATTGGGATGACATGGAGACCAGTATATCATCTGCCCATGAAGTTGTTGTAACTAAATTATTGTATTTAAATTAGATCAAGTACCAAGTGGCTAGAAGCCAACACTGTAGATTGATTTAAAGCATCATGAGTTCATATTATGTTTCTTTTATTTTTAAACTCCAGGCTCTTTTTATTCAGCAAATTTGTGAAGTTGTGTTCTGTTTTGTAAACAATAGCAAATGTTAAATTTAGCATTTTCTTCTGCCATGAAGCTTTCACTTGTGTTGAGTGGCAATAATAATAGCATGCGTCATGGCTGTGATTGGCCTTTAAGCCATTGCAGGATTTCCATCACATTACAGCGGCTCACAAGGAACTAGGCTAGACAGCTGTTTAGCCTGGGTGTACTAAATTACTAACTTACTCCCAGTTTGCTCACTAATGGGATTAAAGAATGATTTTCAGTGTCTCATAACTTCCCCCTAGATCTAAAATATTGTGTTACAAAACTATTTATAAGCTGCAAATACAGTTTATGTTGTTTAGCCTGTCAATGTATAAAGTCTTTTGGATTAATAACATAAATGTCATTCACATTCAATTTCAAACTTAGAATACCAGACACATGATACCAGAACCCTGAGTGATGTCTACATTTACCTCAATGTGTCTCTTATGAATACAGAACAATAAAACATTTGTACTCTTTCTTCACTCCTACTGTTGGTACACTAATCGACTGACTGAGCACTGATTTTATCTTGTCAGAAACTCAGTGTGTGCTCGTTGAAAATGTGATATTTGCTTTTTCAGAGAAAGACTATGAAAATGCTATCAAGTACTACTCCGAGGCCTTGGAGGTCAACCCATCCAATGCCATCTACTACAGCAACCGAAGCCTGGCATACCTACGCACAGAGTGCTATGGCTATGCCCTGGGAGATGCTACAAAGGCCCTGGAGATAGACAAGAACTACATTAAAGGGTATTACCGGCGCGCCACCTCCAACATGGCACTGGGCAAGTTTAAAGCAGCACTTAAGGACTATGAGACGGTAAGATGTTTTGCTTTTGTGTCTATTAGTGGCAGCACACTTTAAGCTGCCATATGGTCTGCAACAAGCATCTATAGGAAACCTGCAATTTGTACACTATACATGTGTTTGCCTATACATTTTCTCTAAGGAAAAGAGCTCTCCTGTTCCATCTGTTGGTCTGTCACCAAGTGTTAGGCTCTTTGTGTTGCTTTAACAGCCCAAAATAGGGATTATCCTTAAATCCAGCCATGATGCCAATTAGATCCAGTGTATAGGCTCTCATACCGCAGCTAATTTAGTTTCTATTGTTGTTCATGATGTTCTCATAACGGGCAATTTAAATATACCAGGGCTGTGGCAACAAAGACCTCTAAAGCTCAGCCGTCTCAATTTAATGCACAAACTCGAACAAGCACCATGATGACAAAAAAAGAGTTAATCCTCATGAAGCTTTGAGAGGTTGGAACAAGATTTATATGTATTTATAGAATCCTACTGATATTATAAATGCCATATAGTTTGTTCACATGTATAGTCAAGAACAGGGTTGACTGTGTTTAAAAACCAAATTATGTTTCCTCCAGGAGAAACTGTTTGCATAATTTATTGAAAAGAAAAAAAAAACTTGATGTACTGTTATTTACTTTACATAAAATTCTCTGCGGCTAAACTGTGTGAAAATTCTAATATCTGCTTTGTTGTCAGTTTATTTTAATTAACCAGTGTGTTCATGTTGTGTCTTCCTCTTCTCTTGCTCTGGTTACAGGTAGTAAGGGTTCGACCAAATGACAAGGATGCGAAGATGAAGTATCAGGAATGTAATAAGATTGTGAAACAGAAGGCTTTTGAAAGAGCCATTGCCAGCGATGAGATAAGAAAATCTGTTGTTGACTCTCTGGACATTGAAAACATGAGTAAGTTTCCTTACATAAAAATAAGTTATTTCTAATTACTGACCTAACATTTCATGTAAAACAGGAACTAAGGCTAACATAAAGGCTAAGATAATCCACTTTGATGCTTCATTAGACATTAAGCTGACCTTGTTTTGCAGCGATTGAGGACGACTATGTAGGCCCCAAACTTGAAGATGGTAAGGTCACTTCTCAGTTCATGAATGAGATGATGGATTGGTTCAAAGACCAGAAGAAACTGCACAGAAAGTGTGCTTATCAGGTAACGAGTTTGTTCATATGAAACACAGGATGCTCACAAAGGGAATCGTAAGTGCATCTGTAAATTAAACTGTTTTTTGTACTCTTTCAGATTTTGGTACAAGTTAAAGATCTTCTGTCAAAGCTTCCAAGTCTTGTTGAAATCTCATTAAAAGAGGTGAGCAGCACAAAACTGAAATTGTTTTATTGTCTGATTACCATTTATTTATTTATTTATCAAACCATAATATAAGATGTTTTTATCTGTAATCATCTTGTGTTTGGACTTAATTTAAGTTTTTCTGTTTCTCTTTGCCACAGACAGAAAAAATAACTATTTGTGGTGACACCCATGGGCAATACTACGATCTCCTGAACATCTTCAAGTTGAACGGCTTACCCTCAGAGACCAACCCTTATGTATCCTATCTTATTGCAAACATCTGGTTTTAAATTTGTGATCAATGTAGTCATCCTACTTGTTTTATGTAATTTTATGGCTTACAAAAAAGCTGTCAAAAGGTTTGAATCCAAAACTTGTGCAGCAAAGTCCTTAACCACATAATTCAGCTGTTCAATGGGGACTTTGTGGACCGTGGCTCATTCTCCGTTGAGGTCATTCTCACTCTCTTTGGCTTCAAGTTGCTCTACCCCGACAACTTCCACTTGCTCAGGGGTGAGAACGCTCTCTGAGCCTGTCTGGATGCATGTTTAATATCTGCACATGTCCTGTCCATGTTATATTAATGTGTCACAACTAACGCATTTGTTATCATAAAGGTCAATGAACAATACTGAAATCATTTTTGATTGCATTTGTTGTATTCACTTGCATAGTTGTTCAAACAGGAAGATACATTATACAATAACCAGGCTTGTACCTGCAGGTAACCATGAGACTGACAACATGAACCAGATGTATGGATTTGAAGGGGAGGTGAAGGCCAAGTACACAGCCCAGATGTTCCAGCTGTTCAGCGAGGTCTTCCAGTGGCTGCCTCTGGCTCAATGTATCAACAGCAAAATACTGGTAAGCAGTGGAAGCTATTAGCTGAAAGCAGTTGAAGAGATGTGCAACTTGTTTTGTTGTTCACCAGGGCCCTGCCCTCAAAACCAGTTGTTATTCTTTGTATGATAGAACAACAGCCATAATTTACCTGAATCTTACAGACAACTGCTGTTGTTATTAATGATTTTTGAAGGGGTTTCATGTTTTGTTCCGTTTCACGCACAGTCCTAACAACATTGTCCCTCTCAGGTTATGCATGGGGGGCTATTCAGTGAAGATGGCGTCACATTGGAGGACCTCAGGAAGATTGAACGGAACAGACAGCCCCCTGACTCAGGTAGGGTCCGAAAATGCACCATCAGTATGAAACTTCCTCTTAGAAAAAATCTCTAAAGAGGAAACGAATTAAACCTTTTATCCTTCCTCTTTTTCACAGGTCCCATGTGTGACCTCCTCTGGTCAGATCCACAGCCTCAGGTTAGTTTTCACCCACTCAGATTATTCACTAATTTATTTCAAAGCAGCATCGTCTCCACCTCTCTTTTTTTTAAAAATTAGCTTGACCACTTATCTCTCTCTCGTGCAGAACGGCCGGTCGATCAGCAAGCGAGGCGTGAGTTGTCAGTTCGGGCCTGATGTGACAGAGCGCTTCCTGGAACAGAACAAGCTCGACTTTATTGTGCGTAGTCATGAGGTCAAAGCTGAGGGCTACGAGGTCACTCACTCAGGGAAGTGCATCACCGTGTTCTCAGCGCCCAACTACTGGTACGTAATTGTTTCGGCTGACTAGAAGTGTTGAATCAGCTTTTATTCCACTGCTTCACTTCCATTCTTGTTTGATGTATTCCTCCAGTGATCAGATGGGAAACAAAGGAGCATATATCCACCTCAGGGGATCAGACCTCAAGCCAGAATTTCACCAGTTCACTGCTGTGGTCAGTATACAGAACTCCAATCTGCAATGTTCATTGATTGATATCAATAACAACTATAAAACTTTTTAATTTAAAGAATCTTTTTTTACAAATATTGGGTCCTGTTTTAACAACTTTAATAATCTGTAGTAATTGGCGGATTTCTTTCATAACGATCCATAAATTATTCTTTGGGAAATTGGTGAAAATTGTCCTATCTACCAATGTTAAAGAGAGTGACATAAAACATTTACTGGATCTGCTCCAAAGTGTAATGGCACCTGTCCAGTAAGTTTCCTGGAAATCCATTTACTAGTTTTTGCATAATCCTGTTGACAAACGACTGGACAGGGGCAAACATAAAGTCCTTGGTGGAGGTAATAATTACCACTGACTTGTTTAATAAATTAACATTACAACAGGCTAACAATGACTCACTTTGCAGCCTACCGAGCAAATCTTCTAAAAAGCGTGCGATTTTATGTTTTTCTTCTACAGCCTCATCCGAATGTTAAGCCCATGGCGTACGCCAACTCGCTAATGCAGATGGGGATGATGTAGAGGCCAAGCTGATCCATCTGTGACACTGACGACCTCCTATCTGACCTGAACCATCCCGGCCACCTCACTCCCTCCAGTGCTCGGACATGCTCTCATTCATGCTTAGCCTATGGGATCCCTCTCCCTGACAAACGTCCGCTTGTTGTATGCAGAAAAAAATACCTGGTGTAGTTCAGATAGGGAGAGATCACTCGTACCAGCCCAACCCAGTTCAGAACTGGGCACGTCTGACCATGTTATCCGTTATAACTGGAAAAAATCCTGTTTCCATTATCCATTAGTCTGCTCATGAGTTCCGTCACCGGGTAAAGAAACCGACCGTGAGAAATTCAGGCGAATCTCTTCAGAGCTGCTTGGTTTTTAAATATTTGACACACTTAGCAGATGGGATCAAGTAGATAGTATGAACCAAAGATCTGTGATAAAAAAAAGATTGTTCAGGTTGTACAAGGAGCATCTTGTGACTCTGAAATCCTAGTGTTGCACTGTAGGCATGTGTACACAGCTAAGAGCATTGTAAGCTGGGTTAAGAGCAGCATGTTGATCAGTGTTTCCCAAACCACCCTGCAGTATGTCAGTCATTACCAACTAGAATTACATGTATGATCCCAGTCTGTCATGTATCACTGGGTACACTCTTCAAGGTGCTGTTTGCCGTTAGTGGTGTAATTAGCTGGTTCCGTCATATAGCTGGTAACATTTCTTTTTGCACTGCTTCCTGCTGGGGAAGATATTGCTGCTCTTCATGTTTTCATCCCTGACTGTCATCGTGCCACTCACCTGGCAGCTCCTGCACACTCTACTCTCCAAACTTAGCTTTGGTGTAACACTGATGGCACTCGATCACTGGTAACTTCTGACCCACCACTACCATCTCCGTTCTGTGGATGTCTTCAGTACACAAACGTCCAAAATGCAATCCTGTCTTGAAACGCACAGCTGCATTGTCCAACGGCCCTCAACTTTTTAGATAAAGAAATACACTGATGTGTATGTATATATACTGTATCATTTAAAGATTCCGTGTAATGTTTGGAGAAAACTATTGAATAAAAAAATCCAGTCCTGTGATTTTAGGAACAAGCTGGTATCTTTATTTATGTTGGTCCATATTGTCTTTGTTTGTTTTGTAATTCTGTGTTCTCTGTGGATGGATGTTTAGAACATATTTCTATATCTCTGTGCCCGTGACAGCAAGTGACCGGAGGTCAATATATCCGTCTGTACTTCTGATTCTTGTGAACACATTTACTTAGATTTGGATCAAAGGTTTAGCATCAACTAGATTGGATGAAAATAACATTGTGACCTCACAAAACAATAGTATTTGCGTTGTAAATAATATGACCCAGGAATTAGGTTTAGTGAAATGACATTCCTTTTTTCAATAACAGAAAAGTGGATTTATTTCCCTCAATTTGGATGTAAATTATAACCAGGATTATCAGTTCATTTAATATTAGATCACTCTTGTGAGAGGAGCCTCAGAATACGCATGTTTTTTAAAACAGCATTAGTGGAGTGTATTGTGGATCAAAAACAATATAAGTTTATTAAGGCAGTCGCTCAGCCTATAATCATGAGTCATAGATCTGCATCCTCAGCTTTTTGTTAATAAACATGGTCTCATCTAAAATTCGGTTGTATTTTATTTTTATTTCCCAATCCTATTATTGTATGTCTTACTTTTCTCTCCACATGGTTTAGTGGCTGGTCTGTGGTCTCACAATCTGTGCAGCACATTGTGTGTCCGCCTGGAATAAAATGTTAACTAAATAAAAACAATGCTTTGCTCATTACAGGATCTTAGAGACACAGCTTGATTCATTTTAATTAATTTTAAACACATTTTTCATTTAACTTTATGAGCCAGTTTTTTTATGAAACCCAACATGAAGTCCCTGAAATTAAAAATTCAAAGAAATTCAAATGCACCATTTACCACAGATCTTTTTTTTATTTTATCCAACTTGTGGTACTTTTCTCTCCTACTCAAGATCTCTGCATAGTTTAAATAATTGTCAGTCCAACGATAAATGTGTTTTATGTCCTTCCTCTTATTCATTTCAGTGAAAACAACGTGCTCACCACCCTGTGAGTCGCGTGTGTGTGACGTCACTCTGGTGAACAGCTGATGTTGTGACGTCTCCAGGGCGCCGCCAGCTGACAGCGCTCAGAACACGCGTTTCCGGTTGAAGTGGAGCGATCTGGAGTCGCGGAGCCGAGAGATGCCGAAGTACTGTTCGGTCCTGAGCTGCAAGAACGAGTCCTGCAGCGGCACGAAGAGCTTCTACAGGTCAGACCCCAGCGGAGGGTTTTTATTTATTTCTCTTGCTCTTGCTCTGCCTGAAGTTAAGAAGCTCAATCTCTGAGGAAACTCCGCTGCGGTTTATTGATCTTTGTAGAAAGTCCTGATTGAAGCATGGAGTTTCTCCTGACAGGGAAACTGAAGAGAAACCATCGGATGTTTATCCGTGAAACACAACTGTCTTCCTCCGTGAAGGAATTATCCGATTTCAGATACCAAGATTAACATCGTTCGATTTGTTTTATATCGATAATTATCAAGATTAATGTTCCATTGTTATTTATTTGGTGGTTTAAAGACTGATTTCTCCTCCTGAGTGAAGGTTGTGGTTTGTCTTAATGAGCAGAGAATGACAAACACAATATTTCACAATCAGATCAATTATACCTCCTCACTGTGCTCACACAACAATAATCAGTATATATAGTGTACAGTATATTGGACTTTAGTGATATTATCAGTAGTGTGTTTGTTCCATTTAACTAAAAACAAAACAGTAGACATTTCAACTGTTCGCCCCATGAAGCAATATTCAGATTCAGATATCAAGATTTACATTTTCTTATCAATTTATATAGATTATTATCAGGATCAATTATTTCTTAGAGGTTTTAAGTAAAGACAGATTTTTTTCTCTAGAGTGGTAGTAAGGATCATTCATGTGTTTTATCTCTTCACTGTGTTTTCACAATGCTTAAACATTATATTGATGTACAGTATATTGGACATTTGTGATACTGATTTTATTATAACTCCCCTGAAGTTGAACTCTCAGTCATTTAGGTCCCATTGAACTAAAACAGTTTAATACAAGTATATTCCGTCATGAAGGCAATAGTCAGATAAAGTACTGGACAGTAAGGCTGATAATGGGTTTGAGATGAGATGAACATTTTCACGTCAGTCGATATTGATGATTATTGATCCTGAGTGAAGGTTTGGTTTTCAAGAATGAGGTAGATCAGTTATGTGTTACATCATTTTATCAATATATATTATTGGTCATATTGCTTTTGATGAAATTGATATTGAGATAAGAGTTGTATTATTTATTTACCATTTCTTAACCTGATTTTTCTTCTTGAAAGTTGTTTTATTTACTTAGTTAATGGTCACGTTGGAGGCTGAATTTTGTGATGCTGGTGTTTGGAGTTTATTTTAATTTATCTCTCACAACACAAGCAGAAAATCCATTTGTGTAGAAAGCAGTAACAGGAACCAACACCCATGGGTGTAGTTGCCATGTATAAGAGGAACTTGTTTATTACGTAAATGCCACCACTGACTATAAAAACACCGCAGGTGAGTTAGATTACACGCTGTGGTATAATGTGACAAGCTACAATGTGATGAGTCCACGGAGTCGCTGAGTCACATGATCACGGCGTCAGTGCTCAGATTTCCATGTTTTCTTTGCATTTTCATGTTTCTAGTTTGATATTAAACCGTTGACAGTATTTCATTTGTAGTCAATCTTATATTCCAGGTTCCCTCTGCAGGACCCGGCACGGCTGCAGCAGTGGCTGAGGAACATGGGACGTGAGAACTGGACTCCCTCTCGACACCAGTACATCTGCCACCAACATTTTGCACCGTCGTGCTTCAGGGTGCGGTGGGGGATCCGTTACCTGGAGAGCGACGCCTTGCCCACAGTCTTCCAGGAGGTCGAGGTAAAACACAAAGCACACAGTCTCGTACAGAAGAGTCAGGGCTGCACATTATCGGCAAGTAATTATAGCACCATTGTTTACATGAGTCATTTAGAAGTTGCTGTATGATAAACATTTTATCTATTTGGCTCATTAACAAGGAAAAGCAGAAAAGTTGTGGATTAGTTTCTTTTCGTAATTTAAGTTTTATATACTAGGTTGTGTTTTATTTGTATTTATATTTATTTTATAGTTTTTATAGTTAAACTGTAAAATCCGTCAATTACATTTCCTTGTCGTAAAAATTTTATAAGAACATCTTGGGAAACTTTTTGTTTGTTTGTTTGTTTGTTTGTTTATTGTGTGCAGATAAATCAGAAATCGTTTCACTCCTAAACCTGGGTATTTCCATCAGGCTTTTGTTTTTTTGAGATTCACTAAATCCTACACACTCAACGTTTACTGTTTAGAAAACAGTTGTGCAGTGTTTTGTGATAAATCACTGAAAATCTTTGCACATGTATTGACTAAACGTCCCGTGTTGCTTTTGATGAACACACACTTCTGCTTCCTTCTAGAAAAGAAAAGTTGCCGATCAAAGTGAGAAGATGCCGAAACGTCTGCGCCTGCACAGTGATCACAACATCTCACTGACAGACGACAGGACGTCGGCTGTGGACGGGGTCGAGATGGAAAACACTCTGCACACGGTGCACCTGTATGAGATCACTGTCGACCCGTCGCAGTGCGGTGAAACCAGCCTGGTGGAGTCGAGCGATGCTATAAATTCGGACTGTTTCCTCCACACAGACCTGAACACGCTGACATCAGTGGATGGGTTCCAAACAGGGACAAGCTTCCCTTTAACTTTATTCCAGACAGTAGATGACGTAAGAGAGAACACGGAGGTGGTAGTGATGTCTGAAGGCTCTGCTGCTGAAGGGCAAGAAGAGCTTGTGAATGGAATCACTGCCTCCATTTTAACTCAGGGCTGCTACTCCACACTGGGTCGCACAGACAAGGCTGCAGCGTCCCTCTCTGCTGAAGATGTGACGTGCTCCACAGAGGAGACCATCGAAGGATGCCAGGAAGTCATCGCCTACTTCGAGACCATACCAAGCGTTCTCCCCAGTGGAACCTCGACCCCGTTCGTCTTCACCCCGGACACAGTGCTGTCGTCCGCTCTGAGCTCCAAGCCCATCTCATCCACGGTGCCCATAGTGTCCAAGCACGCATCACCTAACCCTGCGTCGCTGGTTCTCACGGTGGAAAGACTGGACACAGATGAGGGGGATGATGGGAAGTCTGACGAAGACAGCACCGAGCAGCAGGATCACCAGCTGGAGGAGCACTGGTGAGAACTTCAGGAGAAACGCTTCAAGATGTATTCAGAATCTTTACTGAGAAAAGCCAAAGGTGCTGGCCTGAGAGTTCAGGATTAAAATGTGAAACGGGAAAAGTCAAGATTCAATCTTGTGCACAGATGCAGCAAAGAGTCAGTTAGAAGGATTTATCTCCACCAAGACCCAACAATCTCCTTATGAGTAATAATAATCATAAATGTTATTCCTGAATTCTTGAAGTACATTTTGGATAAAATTAAATGAAAATAGGTGCTTACAAAGATATAAAAATAGGATAAAATGTGGCCACAAGGAAAATGTGCTGAATTAAAACAGGTACAAAATAAATATGTCTGTTTTTTGTTTTTTTATCAAGATCCATGAATAATTTTTTTCTGGGAAGTTGATGAAAATGTCAAAAAACAACAGTCATATTTCACAATGATGAAGAAAGTAAAAAAATTGTCCTGGATCCACCAAGTTTCATGAAATCAGCCCTCAGCACGAGAGTTTTACACTTTGTTTTGCAGCTACCACAGGAGCAGTCTGAGTAAAGAGCAGCTGGAGGCGATCGTCGCTGAGCTGCAGAAAAAGGTGAAGGTGCTGCAGCAGCGTCACCGCCGTCACTTGGAGAAGCTCCTGGGTCTGGAGAACACCGTGAATCAGCTGAGACAAAGCAACCTGCTGAACGAGGAGCGGCTGCAGCTGCTCGAGAGGGTACCTCCGTGGGCACGAGTGAATAAATATGTTACTGTTGTGTACGGATGTGAAACGCTCACTCCTCGTTGTCTGCCGCAGGCGTACGTACAGACCAGCACAGCAGTGACGGACGCCGGAGAGACTGTGGCCATCATCTATGAGGAGGACGCGGCTGCATTCTTGTACACGCCACTGGATGACGCTGAGGAGAAGCTGTGACTGTGCACATCCTGTGTGTGTGTGTGTGTGTGTGTGTGTCTGTCTGTGTGTCCCATGACATGGTTGATGCTGTTGAGAACAAAACACTACCTACAGTAACTGAATTGTTTTTTAGTTTCCTGATGTGTGTGGGTGTTTGTGTATGTGTGTGTGTGTGTGGGTGTGGTGTTGGGTCAGCTGTGAGCTTTGCACAAACACAGATGAGGAATAAGGGACAATGGTGAATGTTGTGTTTTATAAACCTCGAGCCCGCCCTCCTCTCCAACCCTCCCTTTGTTTGTAATTTGTTTGTGATACTGTACGTTTTGCGTCTGTGCTTCGTGTCTGTAGCTGCTGTAAATCTGTTCAGTTGTCGACAGAAGCAAAGTTTACTCATGAGAAAGAGTTTGTTTTCTGTTGCACGATGGAATAAAGGGAATGAAACAATGCAGTCGTCTTGTCACACCCTGTTTTGTTGTGTGACTGTAACAGTTGCAGGTTTGGTTGGGGGAAAGTTTGTTTGTCTTTCTGCATAATGACTCAATGCAGCAGTTAATTTAGAGTTATTTAAATATATAAAATGACTTAGAAGTTGTGCAATAGTCGATGTGATATTGTATTTTTCTTTATAGTCTTTATTTTTCATTCCAGGAAATGTAACTTTACACTAAGGCCACATGGTTACCGAGGAATGAACCAGATACTCAACCTGTCAAAGGTACCTGTACCTCTTGGATGTTTACTAAGCTATTTTCTAGTGATAGTTAAAACCAGGACATATCACTCTACGTCCATTTTCAAGGACTGAGGTAGATCTGGAAAATTATCCAGAAATATGCTTTGATAGTTTGGTGCTTCTGTTTGAACTGTGTGCTGTCTCTGTCTCCACTAGATGGCAGCAGAATCAGGGGCACTTAGACAGTGGGACAGGGTGAGTCCATCTGTCCTCTTGGACTCTAGCAGATCCAGGTCTGGTCCACCCTATGGTCCAGATATGTTTGTCAGTCTATGGACTCGGACCAGCCACCGCTGTGGCAGCTGTATCACACTAATACTCACCACAGGAATTTTAAATGTAATTTTTTTTAGTAAATTGGTGGAAGAACATCAAAAATCTTTTTATTATTTTTACACATCATTTTATTTACACATTATTGGATTTATTGAATTCATTTAGATGTTTGGCTTTTTCATCTGAGCATAAACTTATTTTGTGGCCCTGATAATTTAGAAAATGAACTTTTGAAATGCTTTTAATGTTCTATAGTTGATTTTCAGGGGAAATTATGGAATATGGAAATTCAACATTGTAAATTAAGATGAAGAAAAAATTTGCTGCATGAGAAAAAAAAGATTGATTTACTTTCATTTATAAAGTTCATTTCCAGGGCCAGTGTATATTGATAACACTGTAAATATGCCAGAATGAACAAAAATAATCATTTTCACCTTTGGATTCTGATCAAGTGTGAAGTTTGCAGCCTAAAAAGTTAGATGTTTAAAGCAGTTATAATGATGTAGATAATATCAAGTAAATAATAGTCGAGATGAAGCATTAGAAGACAATTACCGAAAGTTCAAGGAACCAAAATTGAAATCTTGCGTTATTCCAGAGTAAATGTTCCAGGTTTTTAGTTTGACCACATGAGAGCAGCAGAATATGTTTCTCTGGTTGGTTCTTTGGATGAATTGCTCTCATTGAGTCTGTGACAGGTTGTTTTCACTGCGCTCTGCTCTTCATGCAGTTTCCTGCAGAATCAGGAATCATGTGATCCTATCTGTGTCAGGATCTGATGTTTGCACTCTCGTATCATTTTAAAGTTCCTCACTCAGCTTTCTTGGCTTTTCTCTTTCTCCTTTTACCAAACGTGTTGTTCTATCGTTGCCTTTTGAGACCGGAACCTTCCATGTCCACTGATTCTCTTCTCTCGTTTGGCCGGTGTCTCTCCCAACACCAAACATTAACCTTGGTCATTCAATCACAACACTGAGCAGTGATGGTGAGAGGGAGACTTTCTTATCTGAGCTCAGCCGGACAGACACACTGCTGGAATGTACAGGGAGGGATCCCGATTTATCAGCAAGTACATTTGCACATAAATCTGCTTCACCAATGAACTAATACACACACACCGCCAGCACGACCTGACCTCAGTGAAACTGGCCCATCCCTCTCATGCTGGTTTTCCTCTGTTAACTTTCCCTCAGTAGTTTGGTGAAGACTCAGCATGATCACCACTTTAGAGATTTGATGGAGCGTTAACCTTCATCCTGCAGCTGCTGCTGGATCCTCAACTTGTCCCTTTTCAACAGATGATATTCTACTTTTTAGATATTTTAGGAAAATAAATTGTATATTCATTTGTATGGTGGCCCTGAAGTGCAAATCACAATAACAGATCATGAAACTCAACAAATGCCGATTGGACGCACTGTCCACGTGTTTTTTGTTCTGTTTTATTTTTGTATTTTCTTATTTGCCGTTGTGTTTAGTGATTTGCTCGTCAGGGCCACAGCACATTTGTCCTAAATTGAGTTAAAGTTGCAAAACAAATGTATGAGATATCATGTCTGTTATACCTTTAACTGTATTCTTTAAATCGAATGAAAAATACAACTTATAAGAATTATTTAAGAGTTGACCCAGAATGAACGAGATCAGTGAACCATGAGCTAAAGAATTGGGAATTAACTACAAGGGTGATATTTTTATTTAAGAGAGCCTTTTAGAGAAATAGCGGAAAATGAATAAATATAAAGTTATTGTGAACAGCAGAATAGACTGGGGGAAGTAGAGCAACATGGAAGCATTTAATGAAGTTGATAGTTTGGTGATGATGAGGTACGAGGTTGGTTCGTCTCACGAGGGCGTCTGATTGGACAGTTTGAAGGGAGATGATCCAGAGTTGAGTTCATTGAACTTTCAGCTGAATAAAAGGCGGGGAGATTGAACATTTCAAACTTTGACAGCTCACAGGTGATTGGCTCAAGGCGAGCCGTCGCGCTGTGATTGGATAAAGAGAGAGAGAGAGTGAGCAGGTGGAGCTGAGCGGGAGCGGGAACTGTGCATGAAGGAATGAAGACTGACTGAACTTTAGAGTCATAAAGATCATTTCATTGTGTGAGAATGAATGAATGACAGTGAATGGAAACATCATTTTAATTGTTAAACTTGATTCAATCTCATAACAACAAACAGAAAACTACAATTTTAAAGACTATCATGGAATAAGGTAATCACTGTCTTTGTTGTGAGTCTGTTGTGTTAAGATTGACAAACACAACTTTGTGAATTAACAGATTTAAAGATCAGGCCATAAAACTTTTGCAGATAATAATCATATGATAATAATAAATCTTATCTATTTAGCACCTTTGAATTTAATTTTGTGTTATTGACTGGTTTTGTTTGCGTCTGTCCTGTCACACCTGTTTTAAATCTGTGCAGCACTTTGTAACTTTGATTTGAAAAGTGCTGTATGAATACAGTTGATTATTATTAAGTGTTAATATCTAAATGTAAAGCACACACGAGAGGGGAAACAAAGAGCTGGAGGTTTTTTCCTCCACAGGTAAGAAACTCAGTGAGATTCCGTTCCCACTGACTGGACACAGTGAGTCTGTGTTATTCCCAGTGGGTGTGGGGGATGGAAGCCTTTCTCTTTCTGACTTCAGGTGCCAGGAAACCTCTCTGCCCTTCACATTCCCCAGTATCGGTCATGTGACCACAGTTTGACCAGAGCCAGCGGAGCGAGACCACAGAGACTCAGAAAGCTCCTCGGCCGTTTATTTCATGAGAGTCAGTTTCTACCTGGTTTTCTTCATAATTGTGTTTATTAATGATTGACAGGTTTCTTGTTCAAATTTAGTTTTCTCTAAAAAAAACTCAAAACAACAACAAAACATCCATAATAACCACAGGATCTTACACTTTCAACATTATAAAGATAATGTGGGTGAACTAATTGTTTATTTAGGGGAATATATGTTATCCAATCAGCAAAAAAATAATTAGCATCATAAAAGACAAAAAATGCATAGAATGCTGCAATTCTAACCCACATTTGGGATTATATGTATTTATCATGACATATATTACAGCTTGATGGAATCTAACCTCACCCGCATAGTGTCCCTGGTGAAAATATCAAACCATTTCTCCCAACAGAAACTCAAAGCAGCAACAAAACAACACATAGAACTACAGGATGTTAAAATAACAGCAGCAGAGGTATGAAAGTGTTTTAGTTTGTTTAATTTTTTAATCAGTAAATAAAAAATCTTGTCTTAAACAGAAATTAAATTCACAGAATGATGTAAATGTATGTATTTTATGGTCTGACAATGTTTCACAACAGGCCAGTGTTTTTGCATTATCTGGATTTATCATGAAATATGTAATACTAATCTAAACTTCAATTTGTCAAATGCACAAACTGAAAGATATTTGGGTGACCACAGAAATATAACGTATATTATGTGTACTCCATCCATTATGAATAATCCATAAGTAAATTGTGGGATGTATTTTAGGCATTTTAAACTCCACTAGTTTACCTTCATGAAAGCAGGACAAACAAAATTGAACAACAACAATAATGAAAAACCTCTTGAATACTCGTTACAATATAAACTGAGCTGTCATCTGTAGTTACTGTAACTGTGACTCATCGTGACCAGATGTTGAGCCGTCGTCCTTTGTCCGAGGTGACACTGATCCTACAGAGTAATGTGATAGATGCATGGAGGCTCCTTTCCCATATTTACTATGGTCATGAATTTTTCAAGAGGGCTCCGTCACCAGGTGTGACTCCACAAACACTGAAAGACTCTGGACTCATGGAAACTGTTACTGATTGGATAGAGAGTGTTTTCACCCCTCTAAGTTTGTTCTGTTTGTTTGTTTGCTTGCCAGATTACGCAAAAACTGACGGATTACTACGAAACAAGGTAAAAAGATGTGGAATGGGTTAGAGAAGAAATTTTGATCAGGGGTGGATCCAGGAGGGATTTTCTCTTTTCCTTTAATGTTGCGAAATTTGGCTTTTTTTTGGTCATTTTCACTGATAAGAATTGACGGATCTTGATGAAAAAGTGAAACGTTTTTGCAGTTTCGTTGACTTTAAGAGGATTTCTGGGCCTCGGTGAAGTTTTAAAAGGTATCAGCTCAGGACAGTGGACGAGTGCAGAGGGAGGTGGATGCATTCAGGAATCTGCCACAAGGACTTAAAGCTTCACTCGCCTGGAAGACACAAAACCCTCAAGAGGAAAGTGCTGTTACAAGACTCTTCTACATTCATCCGGCTCATCGGAACAACAGCAGGAGAATGTTGCTACACAGTGGCTCCCACCAACAAACTGTGTAACTGTGTAAATATGTGGCAAGGTTTTTGGAAAGGAGTGTGACCAACAAATCATGCAACCTGTGGAGAATGACTTCCAATCCTCTGAGCTCACAGCTTCTCACCTCCGCCCGTTAGCTGATCCTGCGGCTAATTGTTGGAAGCGCCTGTGGTTAAATTGCCAGGTAACGTTGGCCTGGGGATCAAATGTCAGGGTTCTGTTACAAAGGCACCTGGCACCATCTTACTGACTCACGCTGTGGAGTGTGTGATGTTACAAACCTTTAATGCAGCATAAGCATATAAACAAATGAGTCGGTAAGGTAAGATAATAAGAAAAGATGAGCAATAACTTAAAAAAGTCATGTTTATTTAAAAAACACTACAGCTGTGGAATATAAGACACAAAGACAGTAATAAACATTCAAAGTCCTCTGCCACGTATTCACCCCCACCCCCACCCCCACCCTTAACCACACTGCACAAAAAGCTTAATACAGTTACCACAAGTCGTTACAGGTTATTCATGATTTTCACACAGTATTTACAACATGCGAACCTGTCGATGAACATTTAACATGTGAAGTTCTTCCATTTAGTTCCCAGAAGTGCTTTATAATGAAGGTGGCGACACATGAAGCAGTAATGGTTATAAAAATATTCAGTCGTAAACATGAAGGAGCCTGGACTCTGTTAAAAAAATAGGTGATTGTACAATTGTCGTAGTTTTTTATTGTGTTGATATAAAAAAGGCACTGAGGATATTTATTTAGTTTTGAAGCTAAAAAAAACAATTCCACTCAAATGTCCTTTGCAAACTTTTGCAGCCTCAGAAAAACAAAGAGCCTCACGCACAGATTATTAAACATTACAGGTGAATTCGAACACATCCTTCATCGTGGAGTCTCCTTGTTTCCTTGTTTCCTCTGCGCTGCTTCAGTTCGAGCTGGCGTGAGATTCAGTAAAGTCTCTTCCTTTTCGACTGTCATTCATACGTAGTCTTTCCTCTCTAACCCGGGGCCTCCAGCGGACCGTGGGGCGGAGTACGCCATCCTCGACGGGTTGTACCTGGTCTCATGTGGAGGACAGGAGCAGCAGAGGAGTCCGCCACCGAGAATCAGAAGGGCAGCAGCCGCCCAGCCAATGTAGAGCGCTGCCCCCAGCTCCCTTCGCTGAGCATCGGTGAGCAACGGGTTGTAGAAGTCTCTGATGATGGTGTTGGCTGACCAGGAGAGGGGAATGAGCTGCATGACACCGGAGACGATGAAGAAGACCCCTGAGATGATCATCACCTTGGCCTTGGACGCCTCGTCCTCAATGCAGTTGGTGCACTTGGCCCCGGCGATGGCGATGAGCACGGCGAGGATGGCCAACAGGATGGAGATGACGGTGAGGGCGCGGGCGGCCTGCAGGTCTTGAGAGAGAGAGAGCATGGAGTCGTAGACCTTACACTGCATCTGTCCCGTGCTCTGGACCACGCAGGTCATCCACAGGCCCTCCCAGATGACCTGCGCCGTCACAATGTTGCTGCCGATGAAGGCCGTCACCCTCCACATGGGGAGGGCACACGCCACAATGGCAATAATCCATCCCAGAATGCACAGGGAGATGCCAATCAACTCCAGCCCTATAGACATCCTGAAACGTCTTCTTCTGCTGCTGCTGTGAGGAGGTCACAGAAAAACTAAATCTGCAAACAGGGGGAAGAGTCAACCTGAGACACAACCTGCAATTAGGATAATTTCAGCCTTCGCATCTGTGATGATCTGTCTCTCCTCAACTTCACCAGTATCCTTTATAAGGCGGATCAGGCCGAGGGGAGGAGTCCTTGAAGAAGCTGACATCATGAAAAAGGGGAGGAAGGACCTGAGTAGCCTCTGCTATCAGTTTACATGGCCGACTTCCCGATGGGCCTGTCTGCTAAGAATCCCTGGGCAGTGAAAAGGGCACGAGTGGGCAGTTAGAATCAGAGAAACGGTGGATGAAGATTGAAAATATGAGTTGTTCATATTATCTAACAGGGAGTGGCTCATGTATTTCTACACTCCTCTTTTTACCTTTGTCTTTATCTTGATATCAACGGTTTTCTTTTGAAACAGGCAGTAAACGATTTTGTGTATAAGATCACTTTTGTTCGAGGTCTTGGTCGTAGATAAACTTCACCAGGTGTCTTTCTGCAGCTCCAGTGAGGCTCCTTACGAACAAAGAATGCCTGACCTCCATTTCTCTGCCTCCTTATCATCACTCTGTGGTGAAAACCTTTCGCTCCATCCAAAATACCAGCGTGTCAGAAAACCTCTCCCTTTCAGGTTGACTGCGGTGTTGATGAGGTCATGCAGAGGGTTTGAAAAAGGTTTTATAAGAACAAGGAACTTTCTTAAACTTTCCTCCTCCAGTGGGAGTCAGAGTTGGAGTATTATCTCTGACGGGCTCTAATGATCTTACCTGTCTGCAGACTGCCCTTGAAATTCTTCGAGGCAGGGTCCATCCTCCCCCTCCACCACCCTCCTTTGGCATTCTGTGGCCCTGGTGTTGACAATGCCCCCCCCCCCTGGTGCAGCCCCCCCCCCTCTCACATGAAACGGGTCCATTGTCTGGGAGCAGAGAGCCGAGTGTGGGGAAGCCAACAAAGCAGCGGTTCATGTTATCACGGAGCTGCACAGACATGTGGGAGACAGTGCAGGTGAAAAGATGCTGTGATAGAAACTCCCACTCGACTTCAGGGTGAAACCAGTTAAACACTTTTCTCGGTAAAGATTAAACATCTGGATTCATTTTTAATATGCTTTATTAATATTCCACAGTTTAGACTGAAGACCAAAGGCGACGGGGCCTGTGAGATCAGGAACATTTGACTTATCTTAACCCAACATCACTCGAGTTTTACTTGATTGCTTTTTGCTTTTTTTTTGTCCCTCTTGCCAATACTTAAAAAATTCAGTTTGAGAACATGACAATAACAATTTTTTTTTCGCCTTTGAGCCTCAAATACTTACGAAACTGACACATTCAGTCAAAATCAAGAACTTTAATGAAAAAACATGTCAACAACACAGATAAGGAGATTTAAAACAGGTGCAGGTAACAAAGATGCATCATGTACAGTAGCTTCACACAAATAATTCTGAAGGTTTTTCATGAAACATAGTTAAAAGAACAGAAACATGTTCCTATAAATGTAGGAAACAAAGCATACAAGTAATTATATAAAGTATAAAATAAAAACCTATGACACAAAAAACTTTGACAGACTGCATCTCAACACGACGACAGATCTATGTCCGTGATGGTAAAGTGTGAGAAAAGCAGCAGATGTGAGTTCAGACATAGTCTCTCCTGTCGTAGCCACCTGGGGCGATCGACCTGGTTTGCGAGTACATCATCCTGGATGGCGGCCCGTACTTTTTCTCCGGTTGCGGGGGGCAACTGGAGCAGAGGATGCTGCCTCCGATGAGCAGAAACGCAGCCGCGGCCCAGCCCAGGTACAGAGCCGCACCGATCTCCCTCTTCTGCGCCTCGGGTATGATGGGGTTGTAGAACTCCATGATGATGGTGTTGGCGGACCAGGAGACGGGGATGAGCTGGGTTAGAGAGGCCAAGATGAAGGCCACACCAGCAGCTATCATCACCCGAGCTTTGGCCGTCTCCTCGTCCACGCAGTTGGTGCACTTCGCCCCCATGATGGCCACCAGGACCCCCAGGACCCCCAGCACGATGGAGATGATGGTGAGGGCCCGTGCCGCCTGGAGGTCAGCGCTCAGAGCCAGCATGGAGTCGTGGATTTTACACTGCATCTGCCCGGTGCTCTGGACCACGCAGTTCATCCAGATGCCCTCCCAGGTGACCTGAGCGGTGACTATGTTCACCCCGATGAAAGCGGACACTCTCCACATGGGCAGGGCGCAGGACACGATGGCTGAGATCCATCCCAGGACGGCCAGAGCCACTCCGAGTATCTCCAGTCCCAGTGAAGGCATGTCTGAACTGTGTGGCTCCTCGGTATCAGACAGAAGGGGGTTGAGGGAGTGTGCTCCTGGAAGCTGATCACACATATAAACACAACATTTCTCCAGAGCAGAAGGTGGGGTTTCGTTGGTTATTGGCCAGGGAAGAGTTCAGATTATCTTGTGCCCCACCTCGTTTGAACAGCCAAAAAAAGAAAGGAAAAAAAACACAGCCTTGGCATGTGAATGTCCTCGGCTTAATCATTCAACTTCGTCGGCCCCGGTAGCGCTCCCACCTGTTTGGGTGAGGGGAGAGTAAACAGAAGGCCTGGATCTCAGGTCTGCAGAAGTTAAAGGATAACAGACACAGTAAAGACCTGTGGATGAATGATTGAAAGTGGAAGGAACCAGCGTTCTCTTTACACTCGTATCCGAGGAGATTAAAGCTTCAGGATTCACAATTCTGACCTGCAATCATTTTGTTATGAAGACTTTAACCTGTACACACATGCATTAATTAAACTTTATTAAGGTTAGGTTATGTTTTCATCAGAGTCTGTTTGTTAGTGTGCAGTGTTTCTCGAAAACTACTGAACTAACCAAAACTTGGAGGAAAAACGAATCCATTACATTTTGGTACATTTTTTTTCACTTTCATAAACATTGTTATTTTTGATGTTGTCACGAATCTTGATGGAAAAAATCTGGATATTTTGAGGACCTGATATCTGTGAGTGTGTGAAATTAGTTGCAGCTTGAAATGAAGGGGGCTGCTGGGGCTTGGCAGAGGTTTGTGCTCTCATGAGTGCTATGAACTATGTTTAATGAAGCTTTGGAAGAGGGAACGAGGAGTAAAATGATAATTCTTTGGCTATAACTCTGATTATTCGATAAAACTATGTGTCTCAATGCTTAATTTCCTGTGTGAATAACAGATAATAAGAGAACCCAGATGTTGCAATGAGGCGGTGAGGAATTATAGAAAACCATAGAGAGAGAGACAATGCTCAAAATGTTCCTCATGACAGTTCTTGGCCCTTTATAAAGCATTTCACTTCTCTAATTGTGTTTCTTTTTGTTTAGAAACTACAAGATGATCAAATATTATATAATAACATCTGGTTGTGTTCCGCTATGTGCTTTTTATTGCTTCCCTGACAGTGTTCTGAGATTAATCTGTTTCACTGGTGACCGTGGGAGGTTAATGACAGAGACCACATGTGGGAGCTGCAATGCAAACAACACAGACCCTCTGTAAATATGTAGCATGTGCATGTAGAGCTGATAAAACATAATTTATGAACAGCAGTGTGTATTTCTGTCAGGAATCAAACATGTTTCCAGTGATACAAAGAGTGTGGGTCATTGTCTTACAGCTGAAACAATAGCTGGTGTGCCTGTGTGTGCAGATGGGTGGCGGGGTTCTTATCAGTGTCCTTGCTCTGAAGGTCACAGTGCATCAGGGGTTTCAGCCTCACTTTAACTGTTGCACGTGCCACAGAAAAAGACCCTCCTATATTTACACTCCCACCTCCTGTAGCTTCAGGAGTCATTAATCGTTCTTAGAGCTTTGAATCTTCTCTGCATCCTTATTCATCTGTAAAACAGCTTCAAAGAAAGAAAGAGACTGGAAATAAAAAGAAGCTGATTTATCAACATCATGCAATTATTGTGGTAAAACCTTTCCCTGTTAGGGCCTTGGCTCACATACGTGAATCACGTGACAGAACATATAAGTCACAAAAATGGTGAAATACGACCCACACTCCTTGCATTGTGTGCATGAGCGGGCACATATCCAGCAACACAGAGTAGAGGGCTGCTTGAGCGAGCACAGATTCACATTAGAGGAGGGGAAAGTGCAGTTCACTGAACGCACACACACACACACACACACACACACACACACACACACACACACACACACACACACACACACACACACACACACATGCATTTGAGGAAAATTGTTTTTGAAAGAACAATCAAAGTGACTTGTGGTGCACTAAATACTTTTAATGGAAAACAGGTAGAGATGTTATTAATGTACAACTGCTAGACAATCTGCAGTTACTTGTATTATTGTGCATAATCACACATCTCACTGAACAAAAGCTAGAAACGCCTCGAGTGTATTTTATGAGCGTTTGCAAACATGCAAATCATCATGTAGTTAAACATTTGCAACCAGACGTTGCACTGAAGCCAGTCAAATAATTATCTTAATGAATTCTGCAGAGTCGACAGGTGACCCCACGACTCAAAGCAACTAAAACTTAGATGAAACCAAAATGTGACCACTGCATTAGCAATGAACAATATCCACTGAGACCGGGAGCCATCCTGGGGAAAACAGACCATGCATTTAACAGTTAGAACAGTTTCAAAATAAAACGTCCCCTTTAACAGGGGAACAAAAAGCAGCAGCAGTCTCCAGGGTTGAAGGAGGTCACAACAACCTTCTACATATGGTCGCTCATGCAGTTTGACCCCGTGAGAACAAAAGACAGCACATCTCTCAGCAGCTGGTGGCTCAGATATCACATCGTCTTCATCATCAGCGTCAAACACTGTGTTGTCCTCTGCTCTTCTGCTGAGGATGTTGAAGATCTGATCTGCAGGAAACATCCAGCACAGATCTATAGAACTGTTTGTGGATGGCTCGACTTTCATAACCTTGACCCACTCTCTACTCTGGCACCATTAAAACTGCAGATTGCTCCACGTCAGCCAGAAGCTCTTCAGATGTCTCTTATGGTTTTTATCTTTGCAGACTTCCTCCCATTGTCTTCAGTATATTACATTATGAGCTGGTGTGGTTCATTAAATCAGCCACTTTAAATGCTGTGTCATTATTCTTCACTTTGGAAATAATAATGTACATGGTGCTTATTATTTCTGTATTTCTTATTTCACTTTGTCAACATGGTTTTGTTATCATTAAATAATATTTAATATTCCATTTTTAAAAAACTGGTTCATCCTAAGAGGCATTTTTTTCGACAGCACCTGCTTTTATTTTGTACATTTAGAGCTGAAGCATCTTTGAGAGTTTCGATACCAGTGACTGTAATTCAGGAAGCAAAGTGAACAGCTGTTCAATAGGGTTTTTGTGGCTCAGATGCAGTCTGGGTTACATTTCCTCTCAGATACAGACTTTTATCTCTGACTCAGTTTCACCCTCACAAATGGAGAACAGGCTACAATGGAAGGGAAGCAGAGGTTGATCTCCTGAAACAAGCCGTCCATTGTTCCTTTCGACCATTTGCATTGAAATGAAATACCTAATTTTTGTGTGCGCCAGTACAGCGCTCATTGGTTGAAGCCCTTCAGCTGCCACATACCCCCTGTTCCTGCATACCATAGTGCTGATTATGTTACACTTCATTTTAGCATCAACTGACTCTGCGGCAAAGTTACAAACTGCAAAACAACTTGAAGAGGTTTGAATAATGAATTTGTGCTCTTTTATATATAATCTCGTCAAAAGCTTTTAAAAGTTTTAATCTGAGGTGATCTGCATAGGAACTGCAGCAAGATCTGAAAATCAAAGATCAAACCTGCAAAACAAACTGATGCTCCGATTAGATTACAGTGACAAATGTGAAACTCGGTTGGGGAAACAACATAAATAAAATGCTGCAGCTTTGAAGATTTTTTTTTGGAGATTATTTTTTTTCAGCCTATATTAAAACATTATGCTTCAAACTTAGTTTCAATCATGCAAAACCTTTTTTTATTAGATATTAAGCTTTCAATGCCTTTCTTCAGTTTCAGAATATGACATGACGTTTACTCCATATAAAATGTATTGATGTTTTTAACACATAAATGAAAGAAACTTAAGAAAAATGGCATCAATGTCCAAACCCAACATGCTGCAGTGAAATCAATGTCATCATCCACACACTGAGCACAGACGTGTTAGTGTTGGTTATTGTTTCCTCATCTGCACTCACAAATGATTACACATAGTCTCTTCTGGTGTATCCGTTCACTGACATGGTTTTGACAGCTGAGTAGTCCACATGCGGCGGCACAGGGCCACCTCCCCTCGGCGCTGCAGCTGACCTGGGGGGGCAGGAGCAACATAACAGGACCCCCCCAACAATCAGCAGGCAGGACGCAGCCCAGCCAAAGTACAGAGCGTTGCCAAACTCTCTCTTCCCCGTCTCCTCCAGCAGCGGGTCGTAGAACCCCAGGACGATGGCGTGGGCCGTCCAGGACACTGCGACCAGCAGCAGCAGTCCGGCCACCACAAAGGTTCCTCCAGCAGCTACCACCAGCTTCGGTTTGCTGCTCACGTCCCGGCTGCAGTTGGTGCACTTGGCCCCGGCCACCGACAGGCCGATGCCCACAATGCACAGCACCATGGAGACGATGACCAAGGCACGAGCAGCCTGCAGGTCTTCCGGTAGCCCCAGCATGGAGTCATGCACCCTGCAGTGCATCTGACCCGTGCTCTGCACCGAGCAGTTCATCCACAAGCCCTCCCAGATCACCTGGGAGATGACGATGTTCTGACCGATGAAGGCAGCCACCCGCCACATGGGCAGGCCACAGGCCACCATCACCCCCAGCCAACCGGCCACAGCCAGGATCATGCCGAGGATCTCCACACCTGCGGAGTACATGGTTGAAGCTGGGGATGAGGAAGGAGCTGAACACGACTGTCTGCCAGGTCTCTGTGGATAGAAGGCCCTCTGTGTCCGCAGGCTCAACCCTCCTGAGATGAAGGCGATATCGGATCTCGTTGACTCAAAGTCCTGCGTAAGAGTTTTAGTGAGGGTGAGAGAGGGGGGAGAACAGATTCTACCTTCTTTATACAGCTTAGACGACTGAAGGTGGAGTCAGTTTAAGGTGGCATCATGTTTACCTTCAAACTACACGTGTGACCTTTAAATGTATGTATGAAAATCAGTCGTCCGGCTGAAAACATTTTGTGAAGAACAGTAAAATGTTAAACATGGTCTCTGGAGGAACATGCCTCCTTTTCCTTACATCATTTACACAGATTACACAAATACCTTTTGTAATCGGTTCTGAATATACTGTGATACAAGAGATTCTTTAAGTATTTTGAATTTGAGGAAGAGGACATGTCTGTAACGTGTGACAACCTTGAAGAAAACTGCGGAGTCACCTCCTGAATGAGATCTCCATGCAAGATAAAAAAAGCAACAATGACAGGCCTTGTTTTTGTTGGTCAGCTCCATAATCCCACCTGAGAGGAGAAAAATACACAGGGGGTCATTATCCTTAAATCCTGTCCTCAAACCTGAGGCTGTGTGGTTACACATCCAAATAAACAAGATGCACTGAGAACATCAGTGACCTAGCATGAGCAGATAATACTCTCAATCTCCACTGGAAACATAATGACGTAACATTAAACCATAAATACACACCTGGGAATTCATGCTTGGTTATCTGTGTAGGTAAATGTCCCCTTTGTACAGTATGTGATCATTTATTGGGAATCTCAATAAGGTTTTAGGAAACTGTTCTTTCTGAGCAAGGCAATTAAAATCTAACTCCACAAAAAGAGAAATTAAGATGCTACAGGCCCCAAAAATTAGAGAGGTATTCATACCTCTGTCAGGGGCAGTTTTTCCTTCTTTTTTTTTTGGCAAAGTAATTATTATTCTCTGAGAAATCAGTGAAAATGTCAAAAATCATTGCGGTGTCAAAGAATGTTATAAAAACTTCCTGGATCTGCCCCCTGATCTGGATCTGCACCAAAATATAAGTCTTTCCTGATCTTTATCCTTAGGTTTTGTGGTCATCCGTTCAATTGTTTTACGTAATCTTGCTCTCAAACTAGCAAACACACAAAACATCCAACAAATAAAGATAGTGGTGAAAATATAACGGCAAAAGACCCAGAAATGTGAGGAAAAACAGCTCTCATGAAGCTGAATTTTAATCTTTATCTAAATCCATATTAAAATTAAGAATAGCTTCTAGAATCTAGAATAGCTCCTTTGTGAGAATGCAGGTGAGCGCTCTGTCATTACAGGCTTTTCTCTAATTAACAGGGGTCACCTGGGGTCAGTGGTCAGAATGATCACTGCTGCTATCTTGTGAGTAACCTCCTCCACACACAGACACACACACAGACACACACTAACACACACCCACACCCTCCCGTCCTCCCGCACCAACACACAGACACACCTGACAGAAACTGGTTAGTCAGAGGAATGCTATCCAAAAACATTGGCTGCTCCGTTTTTCTTAAAGTTCATTTCTGTCATTTTAGGGATGAGGCGTCATGACTGACAGTTGCAATCATAATTGACGAAGATAAATGCTAAATATCTAATATATTTGAGATCATTTGGATGTGGACAGTGGTGGAGGAAGTACTCAAATATTGTACTTGGTAAAACAATAGATATACTATTTTTCAAGTTAAAGTACCACATCATTTTCTGCTTGAGTGAAAATAAGCCATTGCTTTAGTATATTCTTAAAGTATCCAAAGTACTTGCAGATTGTAGCCTATTCCTTAATGCAACGACCCTACTACTATCATTATCTGTGTCTTCTGTGTATTTTGTTTAATTCAAAAATAACATTAAAGAATGAAGCTAATGAAAACACAACTCAATTACTGTCATTGTAAAAATGTAGTGGAGAGAAAACTACAAATATTTCCTTATATAACTAGCAGAGTAAAAGTAAAAGTATCCAAATATAAATCTCAAGTGCAGATACATGAAACATGTAGTGATGCAGAAAACGTACTTTGTTACATCATCCATCTTTAACAGTCTATATAGATAGTCTTTAACAAACAATCCCCTTTCAGGTTATTAAGAGGTTAAAAAACGAAACCAGGAACCACTTTGGAGAAATAATATTTGTTTTGAAGATTACATTTGTAGCTTTGTGTGCATTATATTGTCAACTTGTGTTTTTACAAGCAGAGGGAGCCAATATCTCATTATATCCTTGTTGTGTTGATTATATTTGTCTGGGAGAAAACGCCCTGCATGGGAACATGGTGGTGTCTGCTCCGTTAGTGTGTATTACTCATCCAAATGTGTTACTGTTTACACACAAAACTCAGGTTGGCTGAGAACATCATCTTTATCTCAGCTTATAAAATACATTTGTCAAAAACATTATCCTGAGTTTGTTATAATAATTTGAATTATCCTTGGTTTGTTTTATTTCTTTTTCATTGCTTTTCTTTTATATTACTGGAAATGTTTTTATTTGGTTTGATCCTCTGATTTTATTGTACTATTAGTGAAAAGCAACACCTATATACAGATTGTGATCATTATTAGGATTCATTCCTCAGCTCTTTCCGAAGTGTCAACTGAGGTCTTCATTTCAGACAAATGTTGTTCCTTGGCTTTAAATCCCTCCTGGCAGCCGGCCCTGGACGAGGAGGGCCAAGGAAAAATATTTTTATGTCTTGGAACCTCTAACCCTGAAACACAGTGAAACTGTGTGGATCAACAGATAAGCTCAGATAAAACAACTTGAATCATCACATGTGATTGGTTAATGCTTCTGGAAAACATTCACATATTTCAGCGTTCACAGACTCTGGTTTTTCAGTAGCTGTAAACTGACCATGCATCTTTCACCACACCCTGATAACAACTGTCTCCACAATGTGTCTAAACACATGAGGACTTGAGATACAAGTATGCGAATTGTTTAATAAATGAACTGAGACAAAACCATTCTTGCCCCATAAGTTTAGCTGGCAGCAGTGGGAGTAAACGTTGATTCTGGCATTTACTGCTCATCATCTAATACAAATATATCACATGCAGAACAAAGGATGTGCAGATACTGTGTTGTAATAGTTTGCGCAACAAATATATCACACGCAGATCAAATGATGTGCAGTTACTGTGCTGTAATAGTTTGCACAACAAATATGTGACACGCAGAACAAGGGATATGTTACTCAAAAAGTTTGGATATTGTTGTAGACAATTGATAAGTTTCCAAACTATTCAAAATAAGAAAGACCACATTGAGACCTTGTCTTAGGTGAAATTAATGTGGAGGCTTCACTGTAAAAAAATGCTGAGTTGAATCACTGGTAAAGATGTTGAAAACTAAGTTATTTAAGTCTTTACAATTTTATAACAAGTTCAAAATGACTTTCATTAAAATATATATATATTTAAAATTTTAGGAAACAAAATGATTTCAAAACAAGGAAAAATGACAACTCTCTTAAATATGTTTTATTTCAAAATTACAAGATATACAAACACACTGTGTAGAGTGTACAAACCTCGTATTATAAACTTGTTTTGAGTGAAAACATGCTTCGATCAGGACAGTTTCAGGAACAGCCGGTTGCATTTTTACATTAACTTTCCTTTATGAAAGTTTCTTGTGACTCTGTGTGAAGCAAATATGTTTTTTCTCACATGTGATGAACATTTTCAGATTGAACTAAACCCCCTGTTTTAGTTTCAGTCCACCGAACATCACAATATATCTATTGTGAGTCATGGTGCACATACAGTATGTTATGTTATGTTATGTTGTTTACGTGATACAGTAAATGTCTCTAAAGGCTGTTGTGTGATGTTGTTATCCAAACCAAACATTATTTAGGGAGTGCACCACGTCTGAGACAGGTGCACATACCTGATTACAACAATTTCCCAGAAAAAAACATGTTCCTACTTGCAGAGCACCTTGCTAAACATTCCCGTGAGTGGGAGCCAGTCGGACCGGTTTCTACAGGTGCTGGTGTCTAGTGCGGCTTGTTATTTCTTCACATTAAACCTTTGTCAATCCAAACTATCAGAATAGGATTTGTCGACATAACTCAAACATGTCTTTCTTTAAAAGTTCTCGCCACTTATGTGTGTTGCATGCATGTTTAAAGAAATACAGGCCATGTTTTTAAGGCCCAGAGAGAGAGAGGTGTTGCGAACCACAAAGAGCACGCATTAGGAAGTCCAACAACAAGTTACAAAAGAAGGAAGCTTCAGTTGCTACTGTGTTTTGTGTAAAGTCAACAAAGGCATCATCACTAACATACACAAATGGAGCAGAACATTTTCACAGGCCAAAAAACAAACGCTGAATCCCTCCCTATTTCACAACCTGACACGCTCACCAGTATAAACTGACATTCAGCAGCTAAAGCACAAATGTATATTTCACATATTTGCTGTTACATTTTTATAAAGACATTCAATGAGATTTGCGGCTGAAACGTTCTTCATAAGCAAAATATCAAGAAAATCAACTCTTAAAAGAAAAAAAGATCTGAACCTTTGTGTCCTGGAAAGAGAAAATGACTCAAATGACAATATTTAGTTTGACGTTTTGAGATATTTACACTTGACTTCATCAGATCTTCTCTAAAAGATCTTGGAATTTCTCTCTCATCACTTTGTGCAGAGTCTTTCCGGTTTGTGTCATGTGATTACATGTCAGGCTGGAACATGCATGAGTCACTGAAGATCCCGCAGAGATACTGGCTGTGCTTAAATTATCCACTGAAACTGTGACTGTACTGGAACAATGGCCTCAGGGCTCGCAGTGATGACATCACACACACACACACATACACACACTTCCCAGTCGGATGCATGAAACTTCTGTTTTATTTTAATTTCCTGAAAAACACAAACAAACAAGACCAAATCTCATTACATCACAGAATATTCATATTTCACGTCACTGCTCAAAACTGATTTTTCTTATTCCTTCACATGGATAAATACATTAAAAAAACATTACACTTTCTGAGCTAAATATGTTTAATCCTGGCTCAGAAAATGCTCCCTGAACCAAGATATTTTTGGTTAAAATGACAAAATTCCAACTTCACCTTGTTTGGAAAAAAGGAAACATGTCCACAGCTGCTGTTTTCTACCACAATGCATGCAATATTGGCTCATTAGAAAAGATACATATGAGTGACAATTGTGTATCTTACTAGAAATAAAATACATTTCTAATAATATATATATAGAAAAGAAAAGATATGGCAATTAGCATTTTAGGCCATTAGCTGGCCAACTAGCGATATATACTTCACTTTTCTCCACACACGTTTAAGGCATCATGAGTCATTATTTATCCTACCTTTGCTACCCTTGCTAATTTTTAACTGCAAATCTATGAACTGGTAATTTGGCCGCTCCCCAAAAGTGAACCTGAAGTGGTGAAGAATAAAAGTCGTATTCAATTTTTTTCAAAGATGGTTTCTTTCATTTTAAGTAGTTCTCGTCACTCTGGTGTTTCCTAAAGTGTTTCTTTGGTTTTTTAATTAAGAATTTGATGTTGTGAAAACGGGCTGAGATGACATGATTGACAGCTGAGACTCACGATAAGTCGACCATCCCCCGATCACTACTGCACTCACTCTGCTACAAATACACATAATGGCAGCTTTGGTTTGTGGGTTATTTTGGAAAAATGACTGTGGTGAAAAAAGCTGCCTGATAGAATATGTTTATCTTAAATTCACACAGTGGCCCAGCCTGTTTAACTGAAGGGTTGAACAAGTGGGTGAAAGCAGGAGCCGTTACTGTGAAATCTGGGCTTGCCTCAGACAACCTGCTGATACTTGTCCCTTCAGCTCCCTCTGGCACTTTCTCACGGCTACTTTTTTTTTTTTTTTTTTAACTGCAAAAATATGAACTTGTCCCCTTATGCAAATAAGTTGCCTCAATGAGTAGCGTTTGCAGCGTTACTTTCAAAATTGTAAACTATCCGCACTTTGTATGTATGACTTGATTTGAATCGGTCGAGGAATATGCACGTACTGTATAGGATTATTCAGTGTCTGATAAATTGTTGCATGCTTGTATGTGAAATGAGGCATGTTCTTGTCCGAAGCCTATCAGGACGCACACATCAGGACTAATCTCACCCTGAAACCATCTCTCCTCAGAGTCTTAATTGTGGAAATTCCTCTGAGCCTCCTTGTGTGTGGAACCCAATCTCCATAGCCAGGCCAAAGTCTCTTTAATGATCTTACCTTGGATAAAATAGAGGCATTATAGTCCTAACGGTAGTTTTGGCTCTCAAACACTGCCTCTATTCATTTCTGAAACAATCTGATTCTCTCTCTACCTCTCGTTGCCCCTTCTCACTATCCCCTCTCTCTTTTTGCATCAGTTTGTCAACTGGGATCACTTGGCATGGTATTTGCCAGCTCCCCAACATCTCCCTCCTGATGTCTTCTCGCTGCTGTGGACGACTGTTGATGATTCAGGTGGGACGTGGGCTGCAGAGAGCACTCTTTTCTCCAAAGACAAACTGCAGTGAGAAGAAGGCTGGAACCCTGCCCAGCCTTCAAGGACTGACAACACTGAAAGGTCAGCCATGTTTTATTCTTCATATTTTCTCTTTATGTGTGGACATAAAAGTTTAAAATATAAACCTTTGTGATTGATATTATAAGTGTTGTTTGAAAAAAAACAACATTATCAGTCATTTCCACGCCCTTGTTTTGTTTTGTCTTTTTCCTGTTACACTACTGTATAAATAGGTCTTTTAGGTCTTTAGGTCTGTGCAGGACTTAATATGTACTTTATCTGTTGCATTGGGGCAAATACCTGAGGTTGCAGAGACTGATAAACACACATTTACTCTGTAGTCACTTATTTATCATTAACAATGCACAGTTTGGATTGAACTATAAAAACTGTGAATATTGTTATATTCTGTGGTCTAAGTATTTCAATCTAATACCAAATAAAAGTGAAGTAAGGGAATGGTAATTTGATGCACTCCTGGATAGATGTTTTTTTCACTTGAACACTTGTTGTAACTTGTACAATTTCCATTGAGAACGATTGTGCATCTGCAAACAAAAGCATGTGTGTTCTACCCTCAACCTGAAACTCCCTCAGCTGAAAAGATCAGACACCAAAGATCAAATGTTAACACACGACATCAAAATCTCAACAAGAACTTTTGTTGTCTCCTAAGAATCAAAACCTGACACTTCCTCCTTTTACATACAGCTTTTTGTTCAGATCACAATAACTGACTGCAACCCTAAACCTCTTCAATCAGGAAACATTTTAGAGGAAACTAAAAACGCAAAGTAAGCACAGTTCCTCAAACACAGACTTGTTATAATTTCAGCAGTTACAGAAAAGATGCTGAAATAAAAAAAGAACACGAAAGCGTCATAACAGACAAAAAAGAGAGAAAGATGAGTTTGAGGGTATGGCTGATGGTTTATTTTCAGAGACAACTGAATTGATCTCAGTTGCTGTTAGTCACCGTCATCGTAGCTGATTCACCTGCAATGATCACGAAAACTGGCATGATGACACACGTCCAGGGCTGAGAGGGGGGAGGTGAAGGTAGTCATCACGTCACAGCTGTGTGTGTGTGACAAGCCCCTCCCGGGTTAAGTGTATATAAGACCCACTCCAACCTTCTCCAAACAAACTCCCTTGGGGATCTCTCAAGCAAAACTTAACTGACTTCCAGAGACTCAACTGTTGGACCTTTTTCTTTTTGGACGTCTGTGCAAGAATCTTTCTGAGGAGACATGGTGGCAGCCGCTTTACAGATGTTGGGCATTGCCCTGTGCATTATTGGCTGGATCGGGGCCATCGTTGCCTGTGCTCTGCCACAGTGGAAAGTGACGGCCTTCATCGGACAGAACATTGTCACGGCTCAAACCACTTGGGAGGGCATCTGGATGACCTGCGTGGTGCAGAGCACAGGTCAGATGCAGTGCAAGGTGTACGACTCCATGTTGAACCTCTCCTCCGACCTCCAGGCCGCCCGCGCCCTCCTCATCGTCGCTATACTGTTGGCCATCATCGGCGTCCTCCTGTCCATCGCTGGGGGCAAATGCACGAACTGCGTGGAGGACGAAGTCTCCAAAGCCAAAATCGGCATGGCATCAGGTGTGATATTCATCATTTCTGGCATTTTGTGCCTCATCCCCGTGTCCTGGACCGCAAACACCGTCATACAGGACTTCTATAACCCACTGATGATTGGCTCCCAGAAGAGGGAGCTGGGAGCGGCACTCTTCATCGGCTGGGGGGCCTCGGCCCTCCTCATCCTGGGAGGTGCATTCCTTTGTGCCAACTGCCCTCCCAAGGATAACTACTCTGCCAAGTACTCAGCCGCCCATTCATCTAAACCCAGGGACTACGTGTGAGGAGAGAGGAGCCACATGGGAAGAGACTGAAAAAAAGACTTTGCGGTCCATGAGATGGATTCATAGTCCCACATCATGTATGATTTGAATTTCACATTGATTTTATAGAGCTCTATGTTCAGTTTAATGGTTTCATGTTGAGTTACAGCCTCTATGTTTTTTTTTCCATCTGTGCCAAAATAAAGACTTGAGCACCACACCCAGGCAACTGCTTGTGTGGACCAAGTAAAAAAAGATGGAACGACACAAACATGTTACTGTGCTTTGCTTACTTAATTCTCCTCTGTTGTTGTCATTTGTCATCATTTCATTTTAATGTTCTGAAACTGTAAATAAAGATTTTTTATTCCATTTTCATGTTTTTGCTGTTCTTGTCATTAACTTATTTAAAGACTATAGATTATAGAGTAGATTTTAATTTATGGATATTTAATATCTATGATACATAAAATTCTTCATATCAACTTGTCTCATGATAAATATTCATTATATTACATTTAAAAAACTCTTTCTTTCACCAGCCCTGAAAAGAGGCTTTCTACAGAGACTTAGTGTTAGTCTAAATATTATAGGCTTATTAAACGACATACTCACCTACAAACACAACAAAATACAAATAAAATAATAAATAATAAAAATAATACAATATAACAGTTTATAACACTTGTGAATTATGAGATTATGTAGATTTGTTTACAAGAATTCATATTTTCCTAATATGCCGAAAACCAAGAAGTTGTATTATAATAATGAAAATAGTTCGTATTAGCTCCAAAATGGGAACTTTTAAAACTTTAAAAAAGTTTTCATGTTCTGTGTAATTTTGCATCTAAGTAATTACCTGTTCAACACTGCCCCCTGCTGTAAAGAAAAATAGAACATCTTAAATTTCCTCATGCTCAAGTAAACAACAGTAATCTCATCATTTAATTGTCTTTTAATTAAGATTCAACTGTAATCAACCCATACTTAAATTTGAATTCACGATACAGTAGTTTTGTCCAGTTTTCCTGTTGAACAGTTTGTATATTTTACTGTTTAGAGTTTATAGATAAAGTTATTAAAGTTTGTAAGTTGCTCATCTGTCATATAACTGAATGAGTAAGAGAATAAAAGGTTAATTACACTTTAAAGTTATATTTCTGTATCTGACCTTGAAGCAGGTGATTTCTGGCAGGTCAGCACTACTGAAGGTCACTGGATCTGTGTTTGTGTGTAAACTCCTTCCAGCCAATAGGAGCTGTGGACTGTGGTATCACATACCCTCATGTCTCTGCACCTTCTCCTCTCTATAAATACGAACTGGCACCGTCCCACTCGTCCTTCTCTTTGGATTTTAATGTGCGAGGAGGAAAATGGTTTCCCAGGGGATCCAGATGACTGGCATAGCGATGGCCGTGATCGGCTGGTTCATGGTCGTGGTGGTGTGCGCCTTGCCCACGTGGAAGGTCACTGCTTTCATCGGCGCCAACATCATCACGGCTCAGACCATCTGGCAGGGCATGTGGATGAACTGCGTGGTGCAGAGCACGGGCCAGATGCAGTGCAAAATGTACGACTCCATGCTGGCTCTGCCCCAGGACCTGCAGGCCGCCCGCGCCATGATCATCATCTCCATCCTGACGGGGATCTTTGGAGTGGTCTTGTCCATCGCTGGCGGGAAATGCACCAACTGCATCGAGGAGGAGCGATCCAAGGCGAAGGCTTGCATCCTGTCTGGAGTTTTGTTCATCGTCGCAGGGTTGCTGTGCCTCATTCCGGTCTCCTGGTCGGCCAACACCATCGTCAGCAACTTCTACAACCCGCTGCTGATAGAGGCCCAGAGGTACGAGCTAGGGACGGCGCTGTACATCGGTTGGGCCGCTGCAGCTCTCCTGCTGATGGGAGGGGGACTGCTGTGCTGGAACTGCCCTCCCAAACACGAACACCACCACTACGTCCCCAAATTCACGCCTGTGAAGTCGGTCTCCACATCCAGAGAATACGTATAAGATAGTTTGACCTTCCTACACGGACTCTCAAGGTCACAGGAACAGGAAATTATAGTTTGCTTTAGGACTTAGAGCATATATGAAATCACAAGTTGACTAATGAGCTTTAATTGAAGTTTGTGTTCCCTGTGTCTGCTTGTGCTGGTGTTCACATCTCGATGAAACAACATCACTTTTTTTTTCCCGCTGTCAACACCAAAACTTAACTCGTGATTATATTTTATTTTAAATGTCTAAACTTGACGTCACATTGATGAACAACGAAGATTTTCTTAAGATTATAATTTGGTTTTGTAAATATTCAGTAAGATTATCGATCATTAACATCTCAACAACTTAGAGTAAATAGATGAATAACTTCTACTTACACCAGATTTGCAATTAAAATATTTGCTTTAATAACAAAAGGACGTTTAATTAGTTGCTCTCTCACTTCTCTGGAGTTTAGCATAATATGTAAATGATTTTATTATTGTCCTTTTCCTTGAATTTCCACATTCAGGCCTATGAACCTCTTGATATTTCTGTTTGCTTGTGAAGGTTGTACTTTTCTATCGCTGTAAATAAAGTATATTCTGAATGGATGGTTATCGTTTGACTCATATTATTTCACTCACCATCAGAACATGAGTTAAGGAAATGAGTGCACAGCAAACATAAACATAGGAGCAGGTTAAATAAGTCATATTTGCTGCACTTGTTTGCACAGTAAACAGGAGTTTTACGTCCACAGAGTCAGTTGCACTTCCTTTGTCTCTTAGTTAGCAGAATTATGCAAAAACTACTCGACACATTGTCACAAAACTTAGTAAAAGGATGTGGTATAGGTTAGGAGAGAACCCATTCAATTTTGATGTTGCTCAAGGGGTTATACTAATAAACCATTTCTAGGATGATATTTATGACTGTGTGCAAATAAAAATCTGTACATAGTGAATTTTAAATGTGGCTCATTGGGGGACTGTTAGGTCCAGAATTGTCCACAAGTTATATTGCAAGAAACAAACACGACATATTTTTGATTCGTCCATCGTGAAAATTCACCTGTTCATTAACGACGCTGACATTTAAACTAGTGTTCATGTCAAGTAGGTGAAAAACATTATAAACAAAGAGGAGTTAAGTTATTTTAAACAATAGTAAAAGGCTGACAATTTGGATTGGATCTTTACAATGCTGTGCTGTGGGTTTCTGTCTCCGCCCTCGTCAGCTTCCTGTAAACAGACTTCCCTCCCCAGTGGAGATGAGAGTGATCGGGATCGGTATCAGGTTACTGAGGTGTTGACAGGTTCTTTGCACAACACGTGTGTGTAAATTGCACTTAGGGGCGTGATTAGGGTTAGGATAAGGGACGAAAACCCATTGGAGATATTCTTGCTTAATTTTTCTTCTGAAGGTCATAGAGACTTGGAAGTTGGTTCCATCTGAACTAATGTGGGTATGCCCGATCAATTGGTACCATCCCCAAGCTTCTATGACCTTCATAAGGGGTCAAACCACCAAATCTAAAAAAAAGTACAAGATATTATGGAATAACTTTTTTTCTGAAGGTTGTAGAGACTTGGTTAATAAAGGGGAGCCTGCCATGCACCCACAACGAATTTCAGCACGTTTCCAGCAAGGGGCGTGGAGTTATGCACCCTAGGATGAATATGGGTTAGGGTCGAAATTAGGGTTAGGGTTGCAAGCACAGGGTGAAACAGAGTGGAACACAGGAGAGGGACACAGAGTGGAACACAGGAGAGGGACACAGAGTGGGACACAGGAGAGGGACACAGAGTGGGACACAGGAGAGGGACACAGGGAGCAAAACTTAAAACATTAATCCAAACGTAAGAAAAACACAACCCATACTTAAAATGAAAACTCTCTTATATAAAATAGGACCAAAAACACAGGAGACATGACACAGCAGCTGAAGATAAGAGAGTTCATGTCGCTCTGTTTGTTGTGGGTTAGATCTGTTTTTGATTAGTCACAAATGTGTTCACCCCTGTTTGTGTGTTTGTTTGTTTGTGTGTTTGTTTTGAAGCAAGATTACACGAAAAAGTTTTTTTTATCACTTTCTTTATTCTTTTGAGATATTTTGACCTTTTCACTGATTTTCCAGAGAATAATTCATGGATCTGGATTCAATTGAAATCAGACATATTTTTCCATTTGAGTGTGAGCAATGTGGTCCAGCTTGATTGAATTTGATGGGACTGTTGGACCTTGGTGGAGATGTCCGTCTCTCTGAGTGCCTCATTGTTCATAGTGCTTTTAACCTTTTTAAAAAAGTAAATCAGTATGATAACCTCTGCTACGAAACAGGGCCGCTACAACAGGATAGGCAAGGGCTCGGGGCCCTGAGTGAAGGCCCCTGACATTGTTGGTCCACAGCAGCAACAATTTTGTGAGAACGACCCAACAAGGCCCCATGCCACAAACTTACTACTTCATAGTTTTATTGTTTGGCTGAAGGCTGGGATGTCTAATTGTTTGTGTATGATGTGTGTGTGGGGAGGTTGCACTTAAAATGTACCACTTTACTAATATTTAACTGTATGCAAAGTCTGCAGTTTGTGAATAAATTAAAAGACAAATATGAAGATTGGAATGATGTGATCAGTTTGATTTGATGTAGGGCCCCCAGGTCTTTTTGTCTGGACCCCTGAAGTCCCTTGAAACACTCCTGGCTGTGATTAAATCGTAATTACGAGCACAATTAACATGAAGAGAAGCAAAAAGAAGTGAAAAGTACAAATTCCTGTCTTGCTTCTTTTGTCTCTTTAGACTTTAGACACTAAAATAACACAATTACATGTTAAATATCAGCTAAAAATATATAGAGAAAATAAAATAGCACTAGCAACTTCATAATGAAATCATCATTAGCTCATAGTTGTGTGTGGGTGGGGGTTCAGACGTCCCTCCAATGCTCTCATTTCAAATTAGCACAATAAAGAGGCTGTTGGTGAAATCAAGGACCTTTGAAGAGTTGTTGGAACTCCACCTCCGTCCTTCCTCCAGCAGAGAAATGCACATAAGGGTTTGTTTTTCAAGGACAAAAAAAAGCAGTGTTTAAAAAAAAGTGCCACTCCTCTAGCTCCAGGATCAGGAATCTTGTTTGTCCAGAAGAACTCCCCTGACAATCGACCAACCTTCCTCCTGCCGCACATTCTCTGACGCAAGGGAAGGAGAGCTGTATCACTCCGAGAGAGAAACAGACGTCTGTGTCCAAACGCTTCTCTCTCCTGCCGTGGACAAAACCTCTTCACCATGGGGAGGATTGGCAAGGAAGTGGCAGGTCAGATCATTAGCTTCGTGGGCCTGGTCGGGGTGGCGGTGACCTGTGGTGTCCCCATGTGGAGAGTGACCACTTACATCGGAGCCAACATTGTGACGGGCCAGATCGTGTGGGACGGCCTGTGGATGAACTGCGTGATGCAGAGCACGGGACAGATGCAGTGCAAGCTGAACGAGTCTGTGATGAAGCTGTCCCCGGATCTGCAAGCCGCCCGAGCTCTGGTCATCATCTCCCTCATCTGTGGCTTCATCGGCTTCATAGTCACCTTCATCGGAGCCAGGTGCACCGGCTGCCTGAAGAAAGAGGCATCACAGGCCAATGTGGTGATCATAAGCGGCTGCCTCCTCATCCTGGCCGCCATCCTGGTTCTCATCCCCGTCTGCTGGTCCGCAACCATCACCATCACAGACTTTCAGAGCACCCTGATCGTCCAGACACAGAAGAGAGAAATCGGAGCGTCCATCTACATCGGCTGGGCCTCGGCTGCCATCCTCCTGATCGGCGGGATCATCCTGACCACCTCATGTCCTCCTCAAAAGCCCATGTATGGATACCCAGGCTACCCACCAGCACCAATGTACCCGTACACAGGCCCAGGGGCAAACCCAGCAACATACGCCCCAGTGTACGCGCCTGCATCCAGCGGACCATACACAGCAACAGGGTCGTATGCACCCACCAAACCGTATGCAGCACCCCCCACATACTCTCCTAGACAGTACCTCTAGAAGCTGAGAGACTTCAGGGAAATCAAAACAGACTTTGCATTTCTAGAGGCTGGTAGGTTTTCCAATAAACTGTTGGAATAAATTCACTCAAGCCATCAATGCAATGTTTGTTTATTGTGAATTTTTCATCGAATGTTTCTCTGTTTTTTTTTTGATTCATCGTGCTCTAAAGTAGAAATCCAGTCGAGTCACATCGTGTGAGAAATGTTGCATCAACATGCCTGTGTGCACTGTGGTTGGAAACGTTTAGCAGTTAATATATTTATTTACTTGTCATCCAGAGAATATTTTGTACATAGTGATGATTTGTGATTTGTTTGTTTGCTGCCACTTCCTTTTTTTTTGTGATTATTCAAAATAAAACGTTTGTACAACATTCACGTATCTCTTTGTGGAGTCACAACCATCACGACTGATCATCTGTCAATAAGATCAATGTACTTGATTGATCATAAACATAAACGTAAGATTTCAAAAATATAAGTACAAAACTAGACCCAATATGAGAAATAAAAACACAAATAATGTACATAATATATATATTTTACCGGTTTCTATTAAAATCTAAGCAGGTCTTGTCCCTAAATGGTAGAAAGGTATAAATGGTAAAAGATTAGAAAAGAAAAGTGTGAACAAAAACTCTGGTTTCTGTTTTCTTCCAGTGTTATTAGGAAACAAACAGTTTCCCTGCAGCAATGGAAGCAATGAAGCTTTGAACATTAAGACAAACAATTCCACGTCCAAACCCTCTTCACTGAAGAGGAAGTGCTGGTGTTACTCAAACCTCTGATGCTTCGTCAGCACGATACTGTGTCACGGCAGGAAGTGGTGATGTTTGTTTCTATCAGCATGATACAATGAAAGAAAAGAAAAAGTTAATGACCCAAAACATTAGTAACAATGATAACGACGGTAAATGTGATTTCTATTGTGCATTTCAAGGATTTGACAATATCAAAGGCTGCTGTACAGAAATAGGAAATGAGAAAACATTCGAAGAAAAGAACCAGCAGGTGATTTAACACGATGAAGAGCAACAGTTTAAATTCAGTCGAGCGGTTTCAGGATGAGCTGAACAGAAGGTGAAAGCAAAACAAACCAGTGCAACACATTCTTCTGCAGCAGTGTTAATGGAACGTGCTTCACAGTTAAAAAACACCATTAAAAATACAAAACAAATAGAAAAACAGTTAATTAATAATAAAAAGACTAAACGTGTGACAGAAAGTGAACCACCCATTACAATAATCTGTGTTTTAATATCAGAAATGTTAAATCATAAAGCGTGAGATGAGTAGAGAGAGTGGGATGACGAGGAACAAAGGGTCGTAACCAAACCTGGAAATTTAAATTTTAAATAACGTGAACAAATGAATAATGAATCAATCTTTTGACCAGTTGTGTATTTTATTCAACATAGTGAAATAGCCGAGTCAGAACCCATCTGCTGGTGAAGAAAACAGCAAACACAAAGTTTTTTTATAAATCTAAAGTAACTATAATTGAATATCTTTACTTTAATCTAAAGTGGTGGAAATGTTAATGCAGAGGAGTTGTTAACATCTATATAAAAGCTTTTTGTGTGATCTAATCAACTGCAACATTGATCAGTGTGATTCTTTCATTCAAAGTGGAAATCAAACATAAATGCAGCATTATGTTACCGTCTGACATCCGGTGATACTCCCCCATCATGTTGGTGCTTTTTTCTGAACTGAAACCAGTGACCGGACCTGATCTTCCAGTCACTGGACCAATCAAAGTTTAGCCACTGGCTCTGCATTGTTTGAATAAGGAATGCGGGGCGTCTCCACAGCTTCATTTACATAGAGTCACTGATGTTCATCTCGTCGAAACTGCTCCGGCTCCCCATACAGATGATGCGAAGAATCTGGTCGGACGGGTAGGTTGTTCAACACACAGGTTTCAGGTCAGAGGGGAAGGACATTGAGACTCCGCCTTCATGAAAGACATCCTTAAAACTGAAGAACATGTGCCACGGACTTTATTCAACTTTACACACCGAGCTGAGCCTCAGAGACACTGCGCCTGCTTCTGAAAGAAAAGAAAGACCTCATCATGGTGTCTATGGGACGACAGATGCTGGGCTTTGCCCTCGCCATCATCGGCTTCCTGGGGACCATCATCGTGTGCGCCCTGCCCATGTGGAAGGTCACGGCCTTCATTGGAGCCAACATTGTAACGGCACAGGTCATCTGGGAAGGCTTATGGATGAACTGTGTCACGCAGAGTACTGGTCAGATGCAGTGCAAGATCTACGATTCTCTCCTGGCTCTGCCTCAGGACCTCCAAGCCGCCAGGTCTCTCGTGGTCATCGCCATCATCGTCGCCGCCTTAGGGGTCATCCTGGGCATCGCTGGGGGCAAGTGCACCAACTTCATTGAGGACCCAAGCTCCAAAGCCAAGGTGGCCATCGCTGCGGGGATTGTCTTCATCTGTGCCGGCGTTCTTGTTCTCATCCCAGTCTGCTGGTCGGCCAACACCATCATCAGGGATTTCTACAACCCCATCATGACCAACGCTCAGAGGAGAGAGCTGGGGGCCGCGCTGTACATCGGCTGGGGCACGGCTGCACTCCTCCTCCTGGGGGGTGCCCTCCTCTGCAGCTCCTGCCCGCCAAAAGAGAGCCCAGAGTATCCTGTCAAGTACTCCGGCGCCAGGTCAGCAGCCACCAGCCGAGCCTACGTCTGAGAGCCCCCTTGCTCTGACAGACTTCAAACTATTTTACCTTTCTTGAGTAACCCTCCATCGTTGTGAGTTACTGAAAGCGCCACGAGTTGTGTGTCTCTTTTTTAATGAAGAGAGTGAGAACTGATTTTCTGGGAAATTCAGATTTCTCTGGTGAAGGCAAGAGAGAGACAGTTTCTTAAAGAACGAGGAACACGCCACACAGGCCAAACTCCAGAAGTGGCAGGAAAATCTTCCAACAGTGTGACGACTGGACTTTAAAAGCTATTCTGTATTCAGCTTGTATCAAACCTAATTTTCCTCTGAATGTTTGGCAAATCTAAGCTGTGCGAGAAAACCGTTTATGGTCAGAAAGAGTTACGATGAAAGAAACTTTGTACAGTGGCGATAATATATTGTGAATTTATTGTGTGAGATTTTCTACTGTCGTCTTTGTGCATTATGAAAAAGACTATGTTTATTGAAATCACTGATTTCTAATAAAACGTTTACTTAACTGATGTCTAAGTGTCTTTTTAACTCCTCCACAGTTGACCATGTTCACAAGTTTTTAATACAAAGTCATCAGTCAGAGCAAATTAAAATGAATGCAAGGGAAGAATCACATATTTCACGATATTTCTGTAAAGTGAGGTAAAGACAACTTTAAAAAAGGAAATTAAAAGCACAGCATGTTTAATATTCGTAAGCAGGAAGCTCACTTAAGATTTACTTAAGATCATGCCATGAGGCAAAGAAAAGGGGAAGAATCCAGTTCTGACTGATTGCTCATGTAATAACACAGTGAATGTTCAAAGCATCCATTTTGTTTGAGCTCTCACAGTAGACGTCAAACCAGTTCCACCAGTTTTACAGTGACAGGTGGTAATCAAAGCTGTGGATGAGATACAGTGGATTAGTTTTAGCATTTAAACATCTGAAAGAAATCTTTGAATGAAGAGAAGTCGACTAATCATTATAAACATCTCAGACAAGTCCCATAGCAACTCAGTCCTCTGTAGAATTTTATTTTTTTTTGATCAACAAATTTGCAATAGCAAATATGTTTTGTAGGAAACACAATCGCTTCTAATGACCTACGTTCCCTGAAAATGTTATCAAGCGGCACCAGATTACACACACTCATAGATATATCAGTGCTCTTAATATGCCAGATCTTTTCATCAAGATTCCTGAATTATTTTGGTTTGTTTTCAGTGAGCATTGAAAGCAGCAGTAAAGTATACATGGTATAACTCAAAAATGATTAATAATCGAATAAAATCTACTCTAGAGATGTTTACGAATCCGTATAAAACTGCTTATCCGCCACGATCTGAAACACACACATGACGTCAGGCAGCGCACACCCTGTTCCTACTAGGTATCACATTCCTCTGTGGTGACAGAAAGAATCTACCTCAACCAGCATTTAATTTATGACCTAATGACAAGGAAACCTTTAGACATTTTAGCTTGGTCCATGTCCCATCCACTGACAAAGAGGAGGCGGGGTTCATGACCTATACTGTAGCCAGGCACCAGGGGGCAATCAGATGCTGTGGCTGTCACATCCTTCATTCCTGTAGTCTTTCTTCACAACCAGGAGGGATTTATTTCTGGTTCATTTGTCATCACTCTTATTGTTGTGCACGTAGACGTGTGCAGAGACAAACCCCTGTTCGCCTGGTGACTGTGTCGTGAATGATTCCTTTAGTTTAGTCTCAGTTTGCAGACTTGTGTCTCTGTCTTTTGTTTAAACGTCGACACTCAGCGTTCTGTCCGTCAAACACTATGGCACCTTTTCTATCGCATACATCCTCTCCCTCGCTGAGAGAATCGACCAAACCTTGTGTAACACAACCCTCACATCCATCCAGAAGAAACCCAAACCTTCATTGTCCTTTTGCACAAAGAATCCTGCATGGCTGGTATTCTTTGGCAGAGCCTCTGTTCTGTTCTTAATAGCCAGGCTTTCACGCCTTCCTTTCTTCAGTTTCATTCTGCCTTGGATGCACTTAAACACACGGCTCTGGATATTTTCTCAGAAACTCCCAGAGAGCGAAGACGATGACTTCAATGGGGATGCAGATGGCGGGCTGCGCTCTCGGCCTCTTTGGCTGGATCGGGGTGATCATCGTCTGCGCCGCGCCCATGTGGCGGGTCTCTGCTTTCATCGGCAGCAACATAGTGACTTCACAGATCATATGGGAGGGCATCTGGATGAACTGTGTGGTCCAGAGTACAGGCCAGATGCAGTGCAAGGTCTACGACTCCATGTTGGCTCTGAGCACAGATCTCCAGGCGGCCCGGGCTCTGGTGGTTGTCTCCATCGTCACAGGCATCGTGGGGCTCCTCATCGCCTTCGCTGGTGGAAAGTGCACCAACTTCATTCCGGAGCAGAGGGCCAAGGCGAGGGCCTCGGTGGCCGCAGGCGTGATGCTGATCATCAGTGGATTCCTCTGCATCATCCCCGTCTCCTGGACTGCCAGCGTGCTCGTAAGGGACTTCTACAACCCCATGCTGGTGGACGCCCAGAAACGAGAGCTCGGGGCCTCTCTTTACATCGGCTGGGGCGCCGGGGCTCTGCTGGTGCTGGGAGGGGGGCTGCTGTGTGCCACCTGCCCTCCCAAGGAAGATAGCACCCCGTCTGTGAAGTACCTCCTGAACAAGCCAGGAGGAAACAGCAAAGTGGATTCATTTCGATCTCTCACACCAACCAAGACGTACATTTGAAGTCTGGTTCCTGACTCTTGTCTTTGAGAAGAAACAGAATCTTGGAGTTTATTCGAGAAACATTTGTGGACGTTTATGAAACATGAAGAAAACGGACAAGATGAAGGAAATCTGAACTTTATCGTCATGAAGGAATCAAACTGTGAAGATTTCTTTAAATCTGAATGTTACTCATGACATCCTCTGTACACGGGAATAATTTCAAGTATAGAAAGTATGTATACAGGTTTGGGAATTGATTTGTTTCAGCACTATGCAACTTTGGATATTCATGGTTCTATTTTTCACAATAAATGAACTTCTGTTGTTAGTTGTGTGTCTCTCATGCTTCTTGTTTACAATGTACCTACAAAAATGCCCCTGTGGTCATTTAAACCAGAGAGAAGTGAGAGAACCTGTTAGTCAGGTTTCTACCACACAGGTGACTCAGGGACTCACACTCCTGTTGGCTGGAGGATGACACACTTTTTAAAGTTTCGTCCGACACTGCCGCACCAATAATCTGCACTAAGGGAAGGGAACTAGATTTATTTATTCTGAGGTTGTCGTCTACAGAGAACATATGTGTGTTTGAAAAAGGATTTTAATGTTCCTTTTTACAACCAATTCCTCAAATCAAAGATAATGGGTTCTAAATTGAATCATGTCAATGTTATAGATGAGTTACCAAAAATCCAGCTCATGTTTTGTTCATGTTATTAGATGGCAGATGGAAGATGAGAGATGAGATCAAATGATTCAGATGTCATAGGAAAAGTCAGAAGAGCAGAAATGTTCCAAACAGGTTTCTCCCTGCTTTTTTCAGTGATTCACTTTTCTCCACAGTGACGTTCTGTACAAGAGGAAAAAAGATGGATGTTGATGAGGATCTCTGAGGTCCAGATTTGTTCAAATCAATAATATCAATACCCCTACATATTAATGTTAATATTAGTGGTGACTTCCTGAATTCAGTATTTCAGTTTTTCCAGGCCTGTCAGTCACGAGTCCCACCTTTTCACTTTGATAATGAAAAAACCAAACATTTAAGTTTTCCTGCTCAAATTCCAATATGAAGTTATTATTATCACATATAGTATACCATGTAAAAATATCATACATATAACACTAACAATCCATTCTATAGAAAAAGTATATGTTCATAACATTTCTACGTAAAACATATCTTTAAAAGGAAGAAAAATAAGGTTGATGCCAGTTTAACACTCACAACTCACTATTTGTGAGGGAAAGTGATGCCAAACTTCAATATTAAAATTTTATGTCAGTAGTTACTCTATAACAAAATAACATAAATAGAACATTCTTCAACATTATCTTTCAGAGAACAGCTCTTAGATATATTCATGAATAAAATCAGGCTTATTTAAAGGACTGATATTTGTGAGTGTGAGTAGTGTAGTGCAGAAATAAAAATCATAAATGTGTTGTTGTTTCTTGGTGTGCACTGTGTTATGTGTGCAAATTACTTCGTCATTGTGTTTCAGGTGACATGCTGCTACCTAGTGGCCATTTGAAAATCTATATATTTCTATTTAGAACAACCTCAAATTTACAGAAAACATTGATATTTTCCTCCTTTATTTCTCACCACACTATTTCAAATTTAGTATATGATTATTTTATTTGTTTTAAAAGCTTAAATTTACTCTGCTCCACCTTTCACAATGACGTGTTGCCTCTTCGTTGTCGTATTTAAGGTGAAACTGAAGTCCTGCATATTCTCTCAGGCTTTTGACTGTCATTGCTTGTTTTGAATCAACTTTTTAGCCTTTTAGGTTTATGTTATGATATCTTGTTTTATTCTATTTCATTCTTGTATATAGTTTTTTATTTATTGCACAGAACAAGTTTGCATGATCCCTTGCAGTAGCTTGGAAATAAAAAACATTCACTTTGTGTCGTATCATTTTCAGTTTTATATTAATTAAACATTAAACAAACGAGCAAATGACTGCATCAGATGAGCACTTTTACCATCAAAATGTCAGGATGTGAGTAAGAGAGAATAGAATCTGTCCATTCTGAATAAATCAAATAAAACATCATCTCTTGTTTTTCTTTCAGGGTGTGAGTGAGTGTCCACTGTTCCATGGCTCTACAGGAGCTGGGCATCAGCCTGTCCATGATAGGTGTCGCTGGGACCATCCTGATCTGCGCCCTGCCCATGTGGAAGGTGACGGCCTTCATCGGCACACACCTGGTGGTCATGCAGGTGTTCTGGGAGGGTCTGTGGATGACCTGTGTGAGTGAGTACACGGGTCAGCTGCAGTGCAAGCTCTACGATGCCCTGCTGGACCTGGCGCCCGACCTGCAGGCAGCTCGAGGCCTCATCTGTATCAGCCTGGTTCTGGGATGTTTGGGATTCCTCATCTTCCTCCTGGGAGCACGCTGCACCAACTGCCTGAGCCACCCGGGGATAAAGGCCCGGGTGGTGCTGAGCTCCGGGGCCATCTTCTGCCTGTCGTCGCTGACCACCATAGTGGCCGTTTCCTGGACAGCCAACTCCGTCATCCGTGACTTCCACAACCCACGCGTCCCTGAGGTGCTGAAGAGAGAGCTTGGAGCGGCCATATACATCGGCTTTGTAACCTCTGGGCTGCTGTTCTGTGGGGGAGCCATTCTGTGCACCAGCTGCCCACCTCAGAGGCCCAGGTTCCCCTCCAGTGGGTACACCCGTGCCAGGAGCCCCCCGCAAGGCAGCTATGCCATCAAAAACTATGTCTGAAGTAAGGACCAATGGAGTGATAAACACATCTTGAACTGTAATATAATGGCCAAACATATATTCACAATTTTAGAAAGGACTTCACTTTACAATACATTTCAGTTTGTTGTATTTTTTTTCTTTGGGTAAGAAAACTGGATTTTAAGAATATCACCAGTACAGTTATTTTAATTCTTGTTTAATCTTTGTGCACATTCAAAGAGTTGTAATGGAACGTGCAGCTAAATTATTAGAGGCTTATTACAGGAGATAGATTTCACTGTTTGTCTGATACAGCTATGGCAAACTGGCATTACTGCTTTTAAAATAGCTGCTAACTGCCCCAGTGAATTATTATATGTCCGATTGTTTTTCATCAAGAACCACAAATGATTCCATGTGTAAAAATGTCCTATCCAACCATTATAAAGAAATAAACATTTCCGGATTTCCAGAATGTAATGGGTTCTTCCCTGACCTCACATCATCCTATTTTTGTGTCATCCTGCCAACATTTGCCTCTCTGAAAACCTGTCAAATGTTTCCATCAAAGATTTCAAAAATAAACACAGCAGACTAAACAGGTGCCAATTGAATTACTATTCTGCTGTGAGAACACAAAGCTTCAGTTCAGTTTCAAGTTGTGGCTCTTTAAATCAAATTTCCTCTTAGAAGAACAACAGCGCCTGAAAAACACTGAGCACAGTGGAACCTTTGTTTCTCCCTCTCGGCAAAAACTGGGAGGAAGGGATTGTTTTGAAACCATAGCAGAGCTAACAGAGGGATTCCCCATCTCCACCCAGCTGCAGCCTTTGGGTTCTTCTTTTCATGAATACCAGAGAACTGGTTTGTCCTTTATGCACACACACACACACACACACACACACAAATTGTCTATGCCTGACTCATGGACGCACACGTTAAAACAACACCCCACCCCAATGTGCTCCGCTGCCAGCTGTTTCTGGTCAGACAGTGAAGAGGAGGAGCAGGCAGGCCTGGAGTCATGAGGCGGCAGCTGGAGCTCGCTGCCCTCGGCCTGGCCTTCATGGGGTGGATTTGTGCCATTCTGACACGCTGCCTGGCCCTGTGGAAGGTGAGTGGCACCCTGGACAACAACACGGCCACCCTGCCGGCCTACTGGGACGGGGTGTGGCTGGAATGGGATCACTGGGACTTGGCCCACGATGGCAGCCTGCACTGCTCCTTCTACCAGGCTCTCCTGTCTCTTTCTGGAAGTTTTCGTACGTGGAGAGCCCTCATCATGGCAGCCGTCGGGGCCGGGGCTTTTGCTGTGGGGATTAGTGCAGTGGGGGCGGTGTGGTTCCCTCAGCGTGGCCAGGTCAAAGTGTTTTCTGGTGTTCTCTTTGTTTTGTCTGGGATCCTGCTGCTGGTTCCTACAGCCTGGACGTCCCATCACACCAGTCAGCCACTGGATGGCGCTGAGTTGCTGAGAAGAGACTGGGGACCGGCTCTGTACCTAGGATGGATCTCTGTTGCTCTGCTGCTGGTCGGAGGTGTGCTCCTCACCACCAGGTGCATCACTAGAGAGAGTCAGACACAGCAGCCTAAAGAGGGCCGGTACCCGACTGCACCGGATGAGAGTAATCACCCTCTGAGCAGGATCAACAGAACTACGTTCACAAACAGCCAGTATGAACACAGGTCAGAGCCCATCTGATGGACGGTAATGGAATAAGTGAGAGTGAATGATTCAGCTGGAAAATCATTAATGTGTGAAACGACCGTGGATAGATTTAACAGCAGACGTGAAACTCTGGCTGCACGTGTTGGGTAACGAAACACTGGTTTAACTTAGCATGAATTTAACATTACAAAGCACAAGGGTGTGTGTCATTGTGTTATTTAACTGGGTTTAGTGATAGAGGTGTGGATAGCATATTTAACAAGAGTTGTGTTTCTTTAATGCCAACACACTGAATATACCACAAAACATATTTTACATTCATCCCTATTTACCCAAAACATAACACCACTGTAACTTGATACTTCTGAGTTCTGATGAAGTTACTGATACTGAATCATATAACACGGTCCAACACTGATCACTGCCCTCGATACTTCTAATATATTGTGATGCTTTAAATGTGACTGAGTTCATACTGATCCTAAAACCAGATACTGTATTGCATGGTATTAAGAGTCATGCAGTTTCATCTTTGTTTGGCTTGTTGAGAGTAAAAAAAATGTTTACACCTGAGATGAGGACACTGTGCAATAAAGCATTGCAAGGAGCATTTGATTTTAATTGTTGCTTGTTCCATCTATTGAAAGAAGAGGATGCATGATGGAAAAGAGAAGGCCAGCGTTTTATATGCTGTACGCTTTATAATGATCAGATGTGAAACTGGACTTTTATTTGCAGTTTAATACCAATGTTAAATTGGAGGGTCGGAACAAAACACTTTCTAAAACAGAGAACATGATTCTGAATGTGCTCTTCTACTTTTATACCCAATTTTAAAGTGAAACTCAAAGATAAAACTGACATGAAAACATCTGTTCTACTTTTGCGTTCAGTGGCTGAAACAATAACTCCAGTTTTCTTCATTTAAATGCTAATGTACACATTTCTAATTCAGACTCAATTCTTCCAAGCTTTTGATTGTGAGATTAAGTTTATTCAAAACCGTCTTATCATTTTCTGATTGTCTTTAATAAAATACCCTTTTTGTTACTGTGACCTCAAACCCAGGGTCTTTGTGATCATTTGTCTCAAGTCAAACCATCTGGACCTTGTTGTTTTGTTGTGTGTGTGTGTGTGTGTGTGTTTCCTGCTTTTCTTTTGCAAATAAAAACACTTTCAAGCTTTTTTGATGTTTCAGAGCCTTCCAGCTGCAGTACATCATGTATCATATCAGTGATGTCATATTTCAATTTCGTCTGTGAAAAAAGTACTATCATGTAATTTATTGTACTATTGAAATATTCAAGATAAATAATTCTGTATTATGCTCTGTTCTGCACTTGATGGTGGAAGTATTTTTCATTTACTTGGTTTGGATATAATGCTTTTCTGTTCTAAAAGCTAAAGTGTGATTTCCTTTGTTTGCAAAACTGAGTGTCATGAAAAATCACAGAGAATTTACAAAGGAGAAAATGTTCTTGTTAAATATTTATTTGCTACAGAGCAACTCATTTCTTATGACAAAATATTAATTATTGGGTTAATGTAATTATCCATATAATTGGGATATGAGCATGTCTACATGGCACGCAAAGTCTGATGAAAGGCAGAAACAATAATGTAGTAGACAAGGAAAATAATAAAATAAAAAAATAATTCAATGTAAGCAGTCAGATTTTTACTGACCTGTAATTTATGTATTTTCAAATACATTCCAGTAGAAATGCAAATGAAACAAAACACTGTGAATCTGATCTTAAATATATTCTCTTTAAGGAGTTTGTGTGCTGCAGTGAAGCATGTTAGTGTGGATAAGGTGCAGAATCCTGACTGGTTGGTTTCCTATAATTTCTCTTCTCCCTCCTCCACATCCTTCAGACTGAGAACCTCTAGAGAGCCGCGGCCTTTAGTCTCACAGCGGATCAGCTCATCCATCTCCCTGTAGCAGCCGGGATCCACCAGACACACCTGAGGAGGAGGAGGGGTGGAGGGAAACACAAAGGCGTCAGTTAGCACAGGAAAAAACAGTAGTAAAAAACCTGATCATATTATTCAGTGACTGTAGAGTCTGTAGAGTAGAAGCCTTCATGTTCCTCACCATTTCCAGCTCCTCGACAAAGTCTTCACTCTCCACGACCTGCAGGAGCGGCTTCAGCTTCTCCTTCAGCCTCTTGGCCTCTTTGGCTGGCAGCACCAACCGCAGCCTCATGTGGGCTCTCTGGATGTCCATGGTCTCCTTCAACTGCCTGATCACCTCCAGAGCCTGGGGACAGGACAAAAGTACAAACTGATTGTAACTGTCAAGAGAAAAAACACAGACCCTCACAGTTTGATTCTCCAGCATAAAGAACTTAGTTGGTAGTGATGCCTTCATGAAAGAGCAAACCTGTGTTTTTCCTCACCTGCTGCTTCGTGCTCTTATTGGCCTTGACAGAGTAGTGGATGTCCTTCATCGCCCGCTCAATCAGAATGACTGTGTAGGGCCTCTTAGTCTCTGGGTTGACGCACTTCTCTGCCACTATAGTTGCAATGTCCCTGAACATGGTCTCCAGCTGACTGTGCCTCTCCTTGTCTGACACTTGGAGCTCTCCTTTGGCCAGGATCTGTCCACAACATAAACAGCAGGCAAAGAAAGCAGCAGGTTAAATAAAGGTCAGGGGGTGACAGTGGATATCCTTTCGCCTCCAGTCTGGCACATTTTGCACTTCATTTTTAAGTTTTACTGCCAGTTTTTGTTTTTCATCTTTTACGAGTTATATCCTTTAAGTGTTTTATCCTATCACGTGTTTAAGGGTAGGTGCAATATTCAACTCGCTTTTATTCTGCATTACTATTCTGGGTCATGATATGTCCTTTTGCGGTTGTTTCCCCTTAGGGACAATAAAGTATATTTGATTTGACCGCTTCCATCTGGATGATGGTTTGTCCACCTCTGCAGCTTAAAGGTTCAATGTAAGAGAAAGTGTCTTGTGTGGGGAAATACCCTGCGATTAATGCTGCAAACCAATTTCCCTACAGGAGAAAATAAAGAATCAACCCATCCGAATGTATAGTAAAGATTATTAAACATTCAGGAGGAGTTTCTCACCTGTTTGCAAATGTCTGTCAGATCATCTGTCCCAAAAGCTTTGGTCAGATCGTCCTTCTTCGCCACCTGACCCTTGGACACATTGACGAAAACGGACTGAGTCTGCAGAACCTCATCCAGATCTTTCTCTCTGGAGGAAAACACGATGTCAGAACAATTTGCTCTAACCTGTTGTGATCATATTTTAGCTAATGGGTCGCGTAGGTGAATCAAACCAACAGATCAGAGCTAATCTGACGTTTAAAAGGAGTTAGTTGAAGTTAATTCCAATGTTTTGGTAGCTAAACATGTGGGTGTTGACACTTTACTCACGCTCCTGATCTCCAGCTCATTACTTTATTCTTGTAACAGGCGATTTCAAAGCGCTTCCCTCCTTTCTTCATCCTCACCACCGCCACATTCGTGAGTCGTATTTGATTCGTTGGAGTGAATATCGACATGTTTACAGGTGAGTCTGAAAACTGCGCCACTGACGAAGAGGAGTGTCCGAGTGCGCTGTCTATCGCTGTCCCCTGCGACACACCGACAGCCACAATGGTTCCGCTTAAAATAATAAAACAAAAAAACTGTCGAAATACTTAAAAATCGACTTCATTTTTCGTTTTACCTGAAAAATAATAGATGTTGACAAAAAAACTAAACGTGGATACGAAACTTAAAAAAAGGTGAGTCTCAAAGTAGACATTCCGGTAAAGAAAAAAGAAATACAACTTTCAAATAGCCAGACACACAGCTGCACAGTGACTGAAGCTTTCGTAACACCACCAGGGAAAAATAGTGTGTTTTATTATTATTTATTAAGGCTTGGTTTCATTTTATTTTGCTGCGAATCGTCCGCAACACGAAAGAACTGCACTTCCCAGCATGCTCAGCGGCCAAACAACATGGTGGTGCACAGTTTCAGGTGCCGAGGATTGTTCAGGTTCAATCTGCAGAGATGCTGAGCCTCATCTTTATCGTTTTACTCTTCACGGGGCGCGTGTCTGCCCCGGATGCTAAAGGTGACTTTGTTATTTTCACATCCCAACTCCACGCTAGCTTTGAGCTAACGCTGCTAACATTGCTAGCTAGCATGTATTGCTAGCCAGGCAGTCGCCTTTCTAACCTGCTGCAGGTGACCCGAGGTGAACAGGATGGAACCGGGGTTGTGTTCAGGATCGGCCGCTGCCTGATGAAGCCTGTGAATTGCTTTGTTGCCTGTGTGCTGTAAGCATCGTTTGCTCGCATATATTCTCTGTGAAACACAGTTTGATGTCGTCTCTCCCTCCAGTTTCTCAGAATGAACACAGACACCCCGAGAGCTTCTTCACGTCCATGTGGCACAACAGACTCTACTTGTACTCAGCTGCTGCTCTGGTCTTTGGGATCTGGTTCTCCCTGAAGGTGGCCCTGAAGAAGGTGGGTTCTCTCTTCCTCTTACCCCACCCCTTCAGTCATGATGGTCAATTATTTAAGACAAGATGAGACTTTATTTGTCCCACAATGGGGACATTTGCAGTGTCAAAATAGGCATCAGCAACTAAGGGATATAAAGTAATATAGAAACTATGAATGTAATTGAGCTAAATGCAGTGTAAAGACAGGAAAATGTGTGCAGTGTGAAAATATGAATATGGATTACTCATGAACCGTTGATATTGCACATACACATCACAGTTAAGAGTTAAAGCATTAAAGTTCAGTCCACAATGGTGGTGCATGTAGTTTTTACCAGGGGCAGAGCTGGTTGTACAGTCTTACTGCTGCAGGAAGGAACGACCTGCAATGCAGCTCCTTCAGTCTGTTGCTGAAGGAGCTGCCCAGTGCAGTGACGGTGTCCTGCAGGTGGTGGGACTGGTTGTCCATCATCCTCCTCTGTCCCACCACCTCCACTGGGTCGAGCGGGTATCCCAGAACGGAGCTGGCCCTCCTAATCACTCTATCCAGTCTCGTCCTGTCAGCAGTTGAAATGTCTTGTTGATGTTCCATCTTTAACTGCTATTTACTACATCCTGTGAATGCACATTACAAAAACCGTCTTACAACCGTCTTACATTTCCCATGAAGTATTTTTGCACTCTCAATCATACTATGTTTTGAGTATTTATTATGTTGCATACTTCTTCTGTTTTTGCATACTTGTGTATGTTCTGTCTACTTATATGTTTACTGCGGAGATCAGAGAGAAGCTCAGAATTCACAGTCAAGTTGACTTTGACTAGTCTGTCTAAAGGTGGAGATTAGTGTGAAACTGTTCTGTCAAGAGCTGCTGCTTTTCTCTTGTTTCCAACTTTAAGATCCTTCGTTTCTTCCTCTGTGTGTTTCCAGAAGAGCTTCTCCAAGGATGTTGGTCCGTGGGTCTACAAATCTGTGCAGAACAACGACCGCTCTGACACTGTGGAGTATGTGTCAGGAGTTAAAATCTTCTACGGTTCACAAACTGGAACAGCAAAGGTAGAGATGTTCACTGAAACCAACGTCTCTGGCTCATAGTGTTTACATTAAAGACAAGATGATCCTTTGCTTGCACTCCTACACTCTAAATATATATAGTACTGTATTTGATTTATATTGAGCTCTCTGTTTATTTATTTTCATTCTGTTTCTTGTTCATATGTTCTATTACATTGCCCCTTTTGCCATCATCTCACCTCCTCTTCTCATCCAACACCTTTTCATTGTACTGTTGACCATGTGTTAACTTACATATGACAAATTAAACTGGAAACTTCAGGATATAATCAGTCACGGACGCGATGCTAAAGAATCAAAAGAAGTTTTACATAAATAGGGTTTAAAAGTGCTTTAAAAACCAACCTGATGCACCATAATCATCTATATATCTTTTGACCAGAATTTCACACAAAATATAAAAGTGAAATTCCAGCTGAGATTAATTAATCACACACAATATATTTATAATTCTGTCTGAGAAGCATCATCTGACACTTTTCATCATTTCTCAGGGTTTTGCAAACGAGCTGTTGGAAGAAGTAAAGACTTTGGGAATACCAGCGGAGGTGACTGACATGAAAGACTACGATCCAGATGATCAACTTGCTGATGAGGTAAAATTGCTAAACTTTATTAATATAGTAAACATATAAAAAAGCTAAAGAGTTAATGGTAAAAACTAAAAACAGTACAATAAAAACAAATAGTTGAATCTTAAGATAACAACTAATTAAATAATTTAAATAATTAAATATTAAATACCACAAGTTAGGAAAAAAAAAATATAATAAAATGAGGACACTGAGTTTGCCTGCCTGGGATCTTCTGGTTCAAGGTTCTGTGGCCTAGACGTTGGAGACTCCATCACTTTTGTTATGTCTCGTTAAGACAGTGATCAGGCTCATAGGAAATCAGCAGATTGCAGCTGTAGGAAGGAACCAGACCATTTAAAGGCTTTAATATCGAGCAGTTAAATATTAAAATCAAATATAAATCTCACAGGAAGCAAGTGAAGTGCAGCATGGACTTGTGTAATGTGACTTGCCTGCCCATTCATTACAGTAGTCATGTCGGGAAGATATACATAATGACCTGATATGTCTGAAGCAGTACAGCAACACTTAAATCACTTCAAAGTACAACTCTGAAATTAAAAAAAAGGGCTACGTGGGCCTCTTTCCAAATGTTATTAGATAAAGTGCCCAGACTAGAGGAGAGATTAGTAAAGCCTTTAGTGCCCGGGCCTCAGGGGATAATTACAGTCACCTCTAATTAGGTGTCATTCAACTGCAGGAGGTTTTTGGACTTTCAATTTTTAATTTCCGCAACGCAGAACATGATAGAGAGATGAATAAGCGATTCTAGGCTTTCACAGGAAGGATAATTTGCTGTCAACAGAAAGCAGTGTCATGGCTATTTGCCCCAATGGCGACCCCAACTTGACCCACGTGGGATACCACAAAATAAAGTAGAAGGAGGCATCTCTTCATTATAGAAAAGGACCTCTCAGATAAGAGATCAGACACTTCAGAGCCGCATCACTGACGCTAACATAATTCTTCAGATGGCTGAGTATGATATTATGGTCAACTGTATCAAAGGCTGAAGTGAGGTCAAGGGATTTATGTACTGGCCTGAGTCGGCTTCAAGCAGTACTCCATGGGTGACCTCGACCAGGGATTTTTCTGGGTCTGCAAGAGAGAAAAAAACAGATTATACATTTTTAAAGATTTTGTTGTTTTACATAATGGAAATTAGAAAAATGTCAGCTGGGAGAGGGTCCTAAAATGACCTTAAACAGGTAATATAGAAATTCCTCACATGTCTCTGGGGAGGATTCAGCTGTCTGCCTGGGCAGAGGACCAATAGCATAATTCACAGTTTAAAATGGATTCTGGGAGTGTGACCCTTTTTAGCATTCTGATTTGAAAAATCGGTGTTCTTCGCCGCTTTGATTGTTGGCTGATAAGTGGACAATACATCTCTTTGGGAGGCAAAGGAAACACTGTGTTTATCATCTCTGCTCTGCATTCTTCCATTGTAATCCTTTAGCCACAGCAGAGAGGAAGGGCTGAGCGTTTTTATATCTGATTGAAGATACATAATCTAAATTGCTTGAGCAAAAGCTATTAAAAAAGCAAAGACAAGCTTATTTACAGGCTTCTCTGTTCTCTGGTAGTAATGTGTTTGATGCTGTAAAATTCTGACAAGCGAGAAACAGACAATGACTTTCCTGGGGAAGGTGAGTCCAAAGAGAAGATGCTTTGTCTCTGTCTAATAAAGGTCAGACGGATGATAAAAATACAATTGTGTGATGAGGTATTTGGCCCTGAAACCTGAGAATGTAATTTAAAAAAACTGTCATTGAACAAGAACCTAAACACCTGCAAACATAAGAGCTGCTCCTCTTAACCCTTAACTTCAGCCTTTCATAGATTAAGTGAGTAATTTATGCATCAGTTAATTGTTGCAGTGCTGTTAAGAGGATAAGGATGTACTGACGTGGGTTTGCTCTGGGCTGTCAATTCAATCTAATTCTAAAATTCAACTTCAAGCAGATAAGACCTGGAAACGTGCATTTACACACAAGGCTCAATTAGAACAGAATTATTCAAAGTGTAAAAAAATATAAATTATTAATTTAAAGCCGAACAACAAACAGCTTTTAATGTTCCGTAATGTTGCAGCTCAGCCTTTCCTTCCGTTTTTTCACTGATTTGATTCTTCAGACGACAGGCACGGAGGAAAATGTGTTACACTAATCCTGCTCAAGAAAGATGGATTATTCTCATCAGTGTTGCCTTTTTATTTTGTGGGCACTGTGCACTTCGGCTGAGAGATGAATATGAGATTAGTTGACTGCTGCACGGCAGGAGAGAAAATAGCCATTTATTCAACAGGGCAGTAATATAGTTTTCTATGATGGAAAGAGAAATGAGGAGGAAAAAGGCGGCAGGCAACAGTCGCTCCCTGGATTCAGCTGAACCTCGGTGCACTGGCTCTGACTGACTCTGGATACAACACAGCTGCTTCACTTCAGAAGTTTTCTGGTTATTTATACATGGACAAGGAGACAATATTCACCCACGTTAGAGTCAATCTAGACTGATTTTCTGCTGTCCTTTTTGTCCCCTTTGTGTATTTATTCATCACATAGCTTCCCAAAGTTATAAATGCTGAAAATATGGTCAGGTGTTCCAGCTGGAGCAAGTTGTTCATGGTGCTGTGGTGGATTCTTCTTCAAAGTTATTTCCCCAAGCTCGTTTTAGTGTCTCCTTTCTGCTCCATATTGTTCAGAGTTAATCCATTATTTGTTTTTCCCTCAAATCCAAATTAACAACAAAAAAGTCGTTGTCACAAGAAACCCTATGTTTATAGACATGCACTGTGCTGTATATGAGAAAGTACATTTATTATCAGTTGCTCTGGAATTTTTTGAAAATGTCAGAGTGAGCCCAGGTGAGAATACAGCAGGAAAATGTCCGGAAATATTCCCAGCGAGTGAGTGGACGTGTTTATGATGTTCGTGATGGACATGAAACTGGAGGAGTCACACATGTAGCTGACGCAGACTTGGAAAGACGAAGAGATTTGAGAGCATTGGCCGACTCCGGTGTCGATGTTCTGGAAATAAATACACACACTGAGCTTTTCGCAACAGAATTTATATATCATGTCCTGCTTCTCTACCCAGGCACCATCCCTTGCCTTAATGTTCCAGAAATGTTCCTGTTGTTATGGATGACTCTGACCCAAATGGTCTCCTCTTGTGTTCTAAGGCCAAACTCCTCTTCATGTGTGATAACAGCTTTACAAATGTCTTACTGCACTGTTTCACTGTCCTCAGTGCGCCAGTAAGTCAGTCTGCGTGTTCCTTGTGGCCACGTACACTGATGGACAGCCCACAGAGAACGCAGCGTGGTTCTGTAAGTGGCTGGAGGAGGCGTCCACTGATTTCCGATATGGGAAGACCTACCTCAAAGGCCTCAGATACGCAGTATTTGGTCTGGGCAACTCTGTCTATGAAGGCCACTACAACACGGTGAGAAATAGTTTCTGTCAGAATAATAATACTGCTTTATAATCAGTTGAAGACATTTCACAACTGCAGTTCAGACAGTGGGAAACATAATCTTTTCCTTTTCCAACTCCAGGTGGGTACCAATGTGGATAAGTGGCTCTGGATGCTGAGTGGCATGCGCGTCATGACCCGAGGAGAGGGCGACTGTAATGTGGTGAAAAGCCGTAATGGCAGCGTCCAGGCCGACTTTCAGGCCTGGAAGGCGAAGTTCCTGAACCGGCTACAGGCCCTGGCCAAGGGAGAGAAGAAGAACTGCAGCCAGGACTGTAAAACTGGAGGCTCCTGTAGGAATCAGAAAAAAGATGGACACGTGGTAGAGGAACAGGAGGAGGAGAAGGCAGCTCCGCAGGATGCCAGCTCCGAGGTAATGATATGGAATGACACAATGATTAAATATCAGTCTTTCAAACTGTAAAATCCACAACTGCTTCATCATAAATCTAATCAAAAGTTTTATTTGTTAGATGTTTTGTGAACTGAAAGGCCTAAGAGCAAAACATTACTCAACTATTTAGTCCAGATATAGTGTCCATGTGTTCAGAGACAGATAATGGGGGGATCCTGGATTTGGTATCTTGTTCTCTCTGTTCTTTGTGTAGCTTCAGTCTCCTGTGCACGCAACACACGTCATGTGATTCTTGGACAAACAACCTGTTGATTTTCTCTCCTGACCTCTGCCTGGAGTTGTAATCATTAACAGTTTTAACAACATACTGATTCCTCTTTCTTGTATCATCATTAGATTATAAAATATAATATTGTAAACCTGTTTTTTAACAGAAAGGATTTACATGGCCCAGTTTGAGTGGCTCCTCAGTAGATGGTGTATAACACACCCAAGGATCTTAGGGTCAGATTGAAAATGTGTAACTGATATTTGAACAGGAAAATGTCCAATGACTTAAAATAGACTGATGTTCACTGGCTGGGCTAACTGCACCCAACACCGTGAATAAAATCAGAGGACAGGAAGAAGAGGAGTGTTACTCTCACTTTATTCTCAGTTGTGTTACTCTGTTTATCCTTTTTTTAATGACACTGATGTTTTTCAACGGCAGCATGACATCGGGAGAAGATTCATCTCTGTCAACACTGTCAGTCATTTTGAAATTCGAAAATTGCGGCACTCGCTTAAAATTGAGATTTCACAAAAACGTTATATATATACACACATGCACAGCTTTCACACCGATCACAGTGCACGCAGACGACCAGTTGTCATGGTAGCGGGCTCCTCTTAGCGCCAACTCTTGCTGAGACTTCTTCCCCTCGGTCTACAACACTCAACACTTTCTGTGCACTCAGTGGAGGTGACATTCAACCGGAACAGAGAGCAGCTGAGAACTTTGGCGAGGCAACAACCATCACCGTGTTTTATCGGCTCATGCACTGCTGCTGCACATGTGGGCATGAATTATGACAAATTCTGTGAAATTCCATATACATGCCTAAGGTTTTGTTCTTCAATCTGGCAGCATGAGAGAGGATAATCATGTACAATGAGTACTTCCCATATGGACTCCCCCTGCTCAATGAAGTTTTTAATTGGTTACGGGTTGGAACATATGTGACTCTCTGTGGTCGGGAGGATCATTTGCATTCTCCATTCAGTCTTCTGTCTCCTCATGTCCTTGACCTTTTTTCCCGAAAACGTTTTTCAACCCATTATGGAGCGTTTTTTTCTTGTTTCAGGAAGAACTGATGGAATCCAGCAGTGATGAGGATGAGACAGCGCTGCATGATGAGAAGAAATCCAGTTCAGTGGTGGACATGGAGGATCTGGGCAACATTATGAACAGCATCAAGAAAGCCAAGGTCAGACTCTTAAACATTGTCCAAGTCACCCAAGACCTTTAAATAATCCCACTTACCATCATACCACCTTTCCCATTCCTCAGTACATCTGAAGGTGTCTCAGGCATGTTTCTGCTTCTAGATATGAGGCTGATGTAGAGCACTGAGTTGTCTACATGTCTCATCATGCAGCAGGTTTATTTTCAGTGTTTCTGTGTCAAGGTCTACAAACAGGCATTCAGCTTCCTCCACGTTAATCCAATCTAAGTGTTGAGTGAGGTGGAAAAAGTGGTGTCACTGAGGGAGAGATGGCAGATGGGTTGATAGACACCAGACCCCGGCAGGCGAGAAGCGGAGGCTTGCGTAATAGTGAGGACGCCCACCTCACAGACATGTGAGGAGCGGGTGACTCAAGGAAAGCAGAGTTGGTTGAGGAAGAGGCATTATCAATCTCCTTTTTATAAACTGGGGCAAAAAGAAGTGAGCGTTAAAAGAAAAAGAAAATATAGGTATTAAACACACTAATATTTAAATCGCATTGCATGAATGTGTAATAGTAGTCGATCAACCTATTAGTGTATTTATTGCTTTGGTAGATATAATACATTTCTTGTTTCTTAACAATCATGACCACTTTAAAATAAACTCCATCTGCATTCTTTTGCACTCAGGTGAAAATATCAGGTCATATCAATAAGATGTATTTATATTTTGGCTGCAACAAAATCACAAGCTGCTTTGAGAGTTGAAATGAAACTTTTAAGGAAGATTTGCCTTTCTGAATATTTTCTTTTCAGTTTAGTGTAAAATACATTATCAGTCACTAAAGGGACCACCGTAGACGAAACATTTCATTTGACTGCAGTTGACGTGAGCCGTTCTGGTTCCTCAATTTTGTTCTCATGAATGAATAATGCTTTACGACAGTTACTGTTGTACAAACAGTAGCCGGAAAGCAGTCAACGTGTTCATGTCTCACACAGGATTGTCCCTTGTTTTGTGGCATAAATATTACAGTGTATTGTGTTGTACGTTTCAGGAGGTTTGGACAGATGTATTTGTAAGAGCCCTACATTACTTAGACTCACCAAACCTGGTCCTGCTCAGTACTGATCAGTTATGTCTGTCACCGTGAGGAGAGCCAGACTTTGTTTTGTTTTTATTGTCATTCTCTTCCAGTGTGTTCCTGTAGATTTGTGGCCGAACACAAACCTTCCCATTGACTCCCATCCCTCCTATTCACCTGCTGCAAATATATTTTTATTCAACCTATAACTTGTCTTATAACATTCTAATTATTTGCTGCGATGACTCGTATCATAGCGCTGAGATTTCATGATGACAAGTTTGCTGTGCGAAGAGGAAACTAATTAGTGTTGTCTTTGCATAATTTGGTCACAAAGAGCAGGCAGCACAAGATGTAATTAGGTTTTTTTTTTTTTTTTACATTAAACATTTGCTCTTGCCAAGAATCGGCGAGTATTTAGCCAAGCTACAAATTAAGTGTGAACAAGGAAATTAGCTAATTTACAACGGAGCAGTAGCTTAGATTCAGGGTTCAATCTGTTTTGTGTGACTCGCTCTTAATAATTCTGAATGCTGAAATTGGAGTTGATCTTTTACAATTGAGTCTCCAGTTATTAATGACAGGCTGAATAATTAACTCTGTGTATTTAACAAGAAGCTGAAGATCAGCCGTGGTTTTGAACTGCTTGAGATGCGTCTCTTTATAACTGAACTCAGGCTGTGTTTGACCACTAGGTGATGGCAGAGACTCAGTTAACTTGGGCTCAGATCTGAGTGAACCATTGTTCTCAGGCTGATATTCAACACAATGCTGTTGTTTCACTTCTGCAAAAGATATTTACATGAATTCTCTTTGCACATCAACAAGATCGACACTTCTTTTTATTAATTCCCACTGTTTATACAACAAAACTGAAACTAGACTTCATTTATATCTGAGTCTGTATTCATGTGCTTTGAGTCACTGGTGGTAAATGCTTTTTAAGTGAATTGTTCTGGAGTAAGTCAAACTCACAGACACAATTTAAAACTTTCATTTACTTCAGAGGAACCCGTCATGTTTGTGTCCCCACAGCGCAGGTTACCGGCTCTCACCCAGATCACATTGGGAGAGAGCCAGGGTTCATCTGTATATTGCTGGGCTATTATAAAGAGACACAGATTACCCACAGAAAACCCACATAAACACAGGGAGAACATGCAAAGACCCTAGATGAACTGGGATTTGAACCAGAAACCTTCGTGGTGTGAAGCAAACCACTGCAACACTCACAGACTGAAATGTCAACATATTTTGGTTTCTATCATAGGATAAGAAATTATATTAACCTACCTTTGACTTATTCATTTTTCTTTTATCGAATGATCCAGACTGTTTTTATGGATCTTGTCTGAACTTAATTTCAAAACATGTTGTCTTTAAAACTAATTTCAGAAAAGAACCTACAGCATTAATTCTTGAAATGTTATTAGATTATTGATTAATTAATTAATGTGGGCTGAAAGTGTCGGCAGCTTCAGCTTTCTTCACAAATCACCTCTCACTTGAACAAGTTACTTCATTCAACCGTAAATCCGAATGAAGAGCTAAATATGTTACGGTTGTAGCCAGGAAGGCTTGAGAAACACTGAATCACTGCTGAACTTCATGATAAGTTTATGTCTCTGTGATTAGCTTCCAGATCGCCAGTCTCATATTGCCCAATTTTAGTGTATGTCACTCTTTGGCTGTAGATTTATTCATATTCTGATGAGCTTCATTTCCATTGTTGCTCTAACTGATTTTGCACCTTTGCATTGTTAATTAAAATTTGTCCCAGGAGACGTCTGTTTCTGCCAGTTAGAAGTTAGTGTAGAACGGATCAATAATAATCTTGAGCAGCTGCAAAGTGTAATGGCTTTTGTTGCTCTACAATGTCAAAGTCAAATATTTGTCATCTTCTTAAGGTGATACAGTGGCTGTGATATACATATTTAATATATTATTGTTTGTCTCCACTGAAATGTAGCTGTATACATATTAAGGCTTTTGCTTACTTCTATTAGTATAATAATTAAAATGGCACTGAGACATGGGTAATTGAGGTTCTTTATACAGTATTCATCACATCCTAAATTGTACGTGTGTAGCTGAAGACCTGGGCGCTGATATTTTATTGGGTTTTTCTTATTCCCAGGTCTTCTTTCCCTTTTTCTTACTCTCTTTCGCGTCTCTGAGCCTTTGGGTTTTTCTGTTGATCACCTGCCCTCTCTGTGTGTTGTTGATGCACTGTCCAGCTGCATCAGCCTCATTTGGTGTCACGGTTCCAGAGCTCAGTTCAATGCTGTGAGATGTCCCAGTTCTTGTTTGTCCGGACAGGCCCGGTCATGACTGGATGTCTGTAGGCTCTCAGGCGAGGGTGAAGGCTGAGCAGTGGGGATCAGAGACCGGGGCCAGATGAATCACAAGGGCCGCACGCAAAACACCACAGGGACAGATTGTTGCGCTGTCGGCTACATGTTGTGTATGTTTTCTGAATTTTCAGTATGTGGAAGTGGACATTTGTGCTGCCTGAGAGTGGAAAACTAGTCTTCTTATGATCTGCGATTTAAAACATTTTTTTTTACATCATTTTCATCTCTGGTTCAAATACCTGGAATCTTAAACAGCTTTTTGAGTCACATCCTTGTGATAATGTATCTCCGCTATCCCTGATTGACTGTCTGTGTGGTTTACCACAGACCAGCACTGATAACTGGAATAGAGCATGACTTATAGCATCCATTAAACCACCAACAGCAAAGCAGCACCCCACACAATTTGCAGAAAGATAAATCACGTCTCCCAATGTCCATCCAGCTCAGTACCTAATCTTTTTCAACCACGAGAATGAGATGTTGGTGGATTCTGACACAGCGTAATGGCTTGCTTATTTACTGCATCCCCTGCTGACAAAAGAGCTGCTCATGTTAGGGACCGTTGCTGCTGCGCTGTTAGTAATGTGCCATGGACCTTAGCTCCTAAATGGCGAGACATACGTGGCCTCAGCTGCAGAGAGCACGTAGAGCTGCTGTGGGCTTCGATTTTTCCGGGTGGAAGGTGAAAGTACACCATTGTCTGGTTTGTAAGCAGAAACAGATGGGCTCTGAACACCTGAGGTCATGCTCAGATGCACAATCCATAGGCTGTGTTTTCACACCACTAATGTTTAAGCTTGGTCTCTTCTATATGATATTCAGCATCATAGGCTGTGTCCGAAATCAGTCATTCACTAACCTGTACAATAAAATAGGGTCTCCTTACGTCATTGTTGCAGGGTTATGATGTACAGCATCAGCTGCCAGTGGAAAATCCCACAATAGATTTAAAATGTTTATTTGACACTTCGTTTTAATACTTTTAGGTGAATAACATGTTGGAATGAACTTGTGCTAAACATTCAGACACCACTACAAAATTACTTTTTTGGCTTCATTTTTAGCTGCAGCAGACACCACTCAATGCTGCACCTGGTTTGAACCAAACAGACATGGTTGGCTGCTTCATGTCTGCTGGATATGTAAATAAGCAGCATTGTCAGCAAAACTGTCAAGTCATTGCTATTTCAAGTTTTCAGTGTGCTCTTGTGATATTTGTCCCCGAGCACAGATTCAAATGGAATTATTAAGAAAAGGACAGAGCTGCCACTTTAATACGACTGGTGGATTTTGGGTAAATAGGGATGGTGCTCACACTACTCGAGTGGTAATCACACTGGCTTGGCTGAAGCACTTATAGAACTCATGTGCCTACATTTCTCAGAGCCATTTTCAAGACTCAGTGGCACATTTCTGTAGCATTTATAGCCATGTGAGCAATGAACAGGACCCAGGGGAATGTCTCTGTTCTTCAGGAATGCACAAATACAAACACTTGTCAGTGTTTGCTGACAGCATATCGGCCCCTTATGAGTGCTGCTGTGCTGAGAAGGGGACATATACCATATCCTGATACAAACCCAAGCAGAGGCACCATTAGAGTAATTGTGTGGAGCTGTCACATGAACATTGACAGATCGAACAGCACTTCACTTTCTGAAGAGTAATACCTACTCTCAGCCCTGGGACAACTTTTCTAGCAGAACTTAATCTCCTGTTCTATCTGTAAACAGCATCTCTAAGATTTTTAGATTTACATACAAATGCTGTGCACAGCACAAATGCAATCCGAGCCTGAAGCAAGCTGTTAATCTTTGAAAGGAAAAGGCTTCAGTGGCTTTGTTGATGAAAAGCTGTTATATATAAAGTCCAAGAATTGTCTTTTCAAGCTCAAGTCACTTTGTAGCATTTTACTGGGCCCCGGAAGGACCTTAAGACAACTATACTGTCTAGACTAAAGGCTCCTTTTCAAAAACACATTGCTAAATGGTTATTTTACACACAAAGTTATGTAAGAACTGCTCAATCGCAGCCCTTGATTTTCACTTACTTCCAACATCTAATGCTTTATAGACTTATTTTCTTAAAGTCTTAGCTTTTAAAAAGCCTTTCTGAATAAGTAGTAGCTGCTTCCTTAAGATTTGTTGCCTGCACCTTGAAAACAAACAACACTCTTGGACTCTTTGTTTCTTTGTGTGATGTTAAAACATTTAAGAAATTGGAACCTCGGATCCTGCAGTTATTCAAACTGGCTGTTCGGGACTCTATTTGCTGCAGTGACGGGTTTGATTAAGTTGCAGCTTTCAGAACAATGTCCTAACACATCTCCCCATTTGTCAGCATTGTTCTGTAGGCAACACAAAATCCCTCAATGTTCGCCGGTGACTCATTGCAAACCAGGATGGTTCTTGAGCAAGTTAGCAGAGGAACAGTGAGCTGTTGTGCCACCAGGTCGGCCCACGTCAAACTGCATAACCTTGACTTCTCTAACTAATGCCAGTGTCAGGTGATGACAGTGTAGTCAAATAGACACTTATTCTTTTATAACTCCTATATCTGAGTCTTGGGAGCAGGTGTCAGGTAGAAGTGAAATTGCCAATGGTTTTAAATGAAGATCATGAATTTAATATGACTGATTGTGCTGCCCTGTGTGGTAGATGATATTTGACTATACTATTTCTGTATTTACTTTGTTCTCATCTTGACGCTTTTATAACTTAATTTATTGATTTAAAGATGTATGCAGCTGTCAAAGTCTGATATTTCAAGATTGTGGTTTAAAACAATGACTAATTGTGAGTTCTATGTCTAAAGAGCAAAGAGGAGGGTCGAGTAGGTGGACAGCTGGTGAAGCTATCGAAGCTGAATGGAGTGAAGAAGACTGAGGATGAAGAGGAGAGAAGAGAGATGATCACCCCGGCCCTGAGAGAGGCACTGACCAAACAAGGTGAGGAATTATTGAGTAAAAAAAAACATGTTCTGAATGTGTATATATGAAATATACAGCCACTTTGGGAGGGACATCTGCAAGGTATCACTGGTGACTGTCTTAATATATGCATATAATTTAGATGCATTACTTGGCAATAAAAAAACACTTAACAAACCGAGCACACCAGCTGCTGTACCGCATATCTTTAACCTTGCCAATGTCACACAGGCAGCAAAGATGTAATTCACTTTGGAACAGAAATTAGTTTTTATTTCAGCACTATGCATAACAAGCATATACAAATTGCCGGAGACAAATTAAGTTTGATTTTTTTTCCCCCCTAATTCCTAAACAGAGGTGTCAGTTTTCTCAAAGTCAAGTTACATCAAGTTCTTAATGATGTTTTCTTCCAAATGATTGCAAATCAGTTCAGGCCTCAAACACTGATGCTCCATGTAGAAAGAGCGAATATTTCAGCTCAAGGTGCGTCTTTTTTTCTGGTGGAATATGTGTTGTCTAATGGCTCTGAAAATATGCTCTGCAGTCCAATTACCCTCTCTGCCTCCTTCTGTCCTCAGGGTGCAGTCCCAGGTCGTCTATGCTCCCACACTGAAACCTCAGCAAAACTGCTCTTAGCTTGTGTCATCATGGCACTGATATTAATGTTCCTAATTCAATGACCAGCAGTAAGGATATCCTCTAAAAATCATTGTATAACGAAAAAAAACAATGCATTTATGGATAAAAAGAAGTTGAATGACAGCATTAAAAACTATGCAAGRGGAAAATGCAATAAAAGATGCAGAAGATCATATAAAACTTAATTAGAAAAATGACAATGAACTAAATCATGATGCTGAATTAAAAGAAAGATTTCAAGTGTAGAACTTTACATTAGATAATAATTTATATATGGTGGGAGAGGACCATATATGGGATGGGGACTTTCATTTTCATATTTATTTTACTATTCTAATAATTCAATTTTAAATTCAGGCAAGTCACTTTACTGACCCCCCCCACTGTTAGCTTACACAACACTCTATAAATAGGACTCTGAGCAAGACTTCACTCCATTTGACCAAATGTTGGCCACTTTTCATGGTGTGTATGTTGGCAAAGTTCTGTCCCAGTGGACGGTTTGTTTTATTCGCAGTGAAAGAACGAAGGATGAAAGTTTTGGCTTTGTTTTAATTAGACTGGGTCTTGGACGGCTGTTTATAGCTGATTTTTCTGGCATGACATTGAAGCAAAAGTCATACCACTTAAATGCCCAAGAAAGTTTTGACATAGAGCTCCATATTTCAAGCATATCATGTGCCAATTACTTTCAGATGTAGTCAAACCTGTACACTGTAACTCTATAATCAAAACCCTGAAAAGTTATTGTAAAGGTTTAGTTTCTTATGATAGAAGAATTTGCACAAATGTGTGTTGTTTATTTTTGCTCCAACAACACTACTGGGTTATTGGTCACTGTTGTCTTTTAGCTGGACTCCACAAAATGTTATCTTTGATGTAGCTGCAGTTTTTTAAATGAGGCGATATTGCAAATTCATGGAGTTTAACAAGTGTGGCAATAAACATCATAAATGTGTTCTCTATAATACAAGCAACTACAGAAACAACAATCAATTTCCATGAAACTTGGTGGATGGAACATGGGCCAAGACAGAACCTGTTGAATTTTGGGACGGATTTGGACAATGCGGTGAATCCAGAGCTTTTTTCCTAATTTTTGCAAAATTTCCCAGCAAATAGTTCATGGATCTGGATGAAAAGAAATCTGGCATATTTAAGGGAGTGATACTATGAATATGTGAAATTTGGTGCAGCTTGATTGAATTTAAGAGGACTGTTGGGCCTTGGTGGAAATTTTTGCTATACTTGGTACCATTCTAGTTTTTTTTGATTAAACAAAGCTTCTCCCTGCTCATTTTATTTCCCCCCAGGTGGCTCAGTCAATAATGTTTATCTTGTCAATAATGTTGCACCCAAATTGCTTTCATTTCAAGTCATTTAGTTTCACAGTTTGCTCAGTCGAGAGACCACCACTCTTAGACCCAAAAATCTGATTGGGTTCAGAAGCAGTCTCAAACCATGAAATCTAAAGTCTAGATAAAGGGAATTTCTTTAAAATTTCACCAGTTGTCACTTGAACTCAGAGATGAACTAATAACTTATATCAGTCTGGAAAAAAATGTATGTAGACAGAAACTGCACTGGTTGCCAGAGGAATACAAGCTCTGCATCATCAGTCTGAACTACTGATGTAAGATTATTAATATCAGATGTTCGTACTTAGCAGACACCATTCCCCCAGAGAAAGAAGAAATTGCAAACTTTTCTCTCCATCTACCACCCCCTCACTTTGGCTCCATCTCCACTGACACATTCGATTCACTGGAAATCGATTTCTCTAACAAACACAAGTGGGGAAACTTTGTTCCCATTAGGACTATTAATAATAGTTAAATAAACTGTCAGCAGGTGCAGGGTCCCTACTGTGGTTTCCACTGGGAACTTTTATTTCTATGTGCCTTGCAGTAACTAGGAATGAGGTTAGACGAGGACATGCTCAGGTATTTTTAAGGACAAGAATCAATTGCCGGTCAGAGCGCCACTGCAAACAATAGGTGAAGAAATTCAATTCTGTGTGTGTGTGCCTTTGGTTCCTCATTTGTAAGAGGAGTGTTTTTTTCTACTGGTCAAGGACATCATTGACCAGCAGCAGGCAGTTTCATTCAGGTGGTAAATCAAAGTAAGAGTGTTTGAGCATATCTTCAGATATAATCATAAATAGCTGTGACTAATGATGAATGAGTTTGATTTGACTCATCAAGCATCAAACCTGAGATGCGTTGAAGCTGTTAGAGCTCATCTCCGTCTTGACTCAAGTTTCCCGCTGTGTTTTATTTAGACATTTAATCTACAAGGGTTAAGTAGCAGCTAAATCACATTACAGGTTTCAAAATGAAAAGTCACCACTGGAATTCCTCATCAGGCTGTTGTGGAGCAGCACGGTCTAATTAAAAAGTGTCTTAAAACTTCAGGACTTAAAGGTTCAGTGTGTAAGATTTTGATGAAAGGTAACCATTGTCAGAAATTTAATGTAGAATAATCCTCATTATTTTTTCACTAGATTGTTTCATCTAAATTGTATGAATTATAGTTTTCTTTACACCA